GTGTAGTAGCGGAAGCGTTAATTAAAGAGTTGTGAACCACCTTGCGCTAGTATGTGAGGGCAAAGTAAGTTGATTAAAACAAAGAGATACAAGATTATATAAGAGTACAAGGAATATGAAAGGATACGGTTATAATTGTTTTACTTGTTGCTGTTGCGGTTCGATACAGTGACGACTCGGGCAACTGCTCTGTAGCGAGTCAGTTGTGTGTCCTTGCTGTCGCGCTGTACTTGTCATGTCAAAGGTCGCTGACCTTTGACTTTCGCGTAACCTCCAGCGGTTACTTCAACCTCCGAGGGTTGACTCGCTGGTGCCTCGATATGCTTTGCTTCGCTTGTGCCTTAGTGTTTCGACACGACAGAAGCGCTTAGGACCGATTGTTTCCAACAACTTCGCATCCCTGCTCAACGCGTACATCACTGTAGCACCACAGTCAGCACCGTTACCACTCGCAACCCTCGCATCGACAATCCGCCCGCCACCTTCGCACATCGCACCCCGACCTCACGGCTCGGCGGGTAACCCGCGCTCCGGGCCTCCGCTTCGACACTTTTTTCCCAACCTCAGTCCCAGGCCCGTCGCGCGACAACCACAGTCCATTACCGTTACCACTGTAGTTTCGCTATATATTCTTCGCTCATGCCTTCGCTCATTGTACTCTTGCTTCGATAGTGCAGTTCTCGTTCGTTCACTCAATTGAACTCGTAACACTACGCTCTTATCAGACAGTCCTCTTATCAGGCTTGCCTGGTAAAATTTTGCGAGAAATTTTGGGTTTAGGGAAATTTCAGTGTGATGCGAAGCGAATCTGGCAAGGGGGTGGCCTGATAGGTGGTCGTAGGAACACGCCCTTAGCTCCTCTTTGAATAAAACGTGGCGTGCTCCTCCTCATGTTGCACGTTGCCGAGTGTCCTTGCTTACTCCGGCTACTTTCCCTGATGTGGTGTATGGTGTGGGTGGGGATGCCCATGAATGACCTATTTATTGAGCATGTAACCAGGAGGAGTGTAGTGCATGACAAGTTCAACAGGATCAAGTTCAGAGTGAACAAACGCAACAACTCAAAGCTCACATACGGTACCCACATTATCAAGGGCTTACTCTAACTCTATGTCGTTACTACCGTAGTACGAACACGTGACCATACATGGAGAAAGGAACGCTTCATCATTCTCTGAACAGTCGCAACAATCTGGCACAAGATGGCAACGAGTTGACAAGGTGTGACTGGCTACAGCAAATTCTCACCCATACCTGTCATTTCTTCTTGACTGGAATAGGCAGTGACCTGGCGATGAGCTGCCAGTTATGAGGGCTGCACACTAGGCTCTGACGTTGCTTCTTATTGCACCCACCAACAGTTCACTGCTAAGCTCAAGAATGCGTTGGAGCACTGCTAAACACCCTCAGCACCACCATACTACCCTCAGCACCACCATACTACCCACAGCACCACCATACTACCCTCAGCACCACCATACTACCCTCAGCACCACCATACTACCCTCAGCACCACCATACTACCCTCAGCACCACCATACTACCCTCAGCACCACCATACTACCCTCAGCACCACCATACTACCCTCAGCACCACCATACTACCCTCAGCACCACCATACTACCCTCTGCACCACCATACTACCCTCAGCACCACCATACTACCCTCAGCACCACCATACTACCCTCAGCACCACCATACTACCCTCAGCACCACCATACTACCCTCAGCACCACGAGGAGGGCGGGAGAAGGCACAGGGATACATGGAAAGAACGGACAGTGGAGGAGGGGAGTTGAGGGTGGGGAACGGGGGGGGCAGGGGAGGTGTGATGGAATCGAGTGAGAGCGATGCAAGGGGTTGTGCTGGTGTTGGTACAACGAGTGGCAATGAAGCAGAGGGGAATATGTCTGACAGAGAAGGAGCGGGTGAGCAAGGAGCGAGGGGAAGAGGCGCAAGCGAGGGAGGAAGCTGCACGGGTGATGGAGGCGTTTCTTCTGAGGCCACTGTGTAACGAGGTGAGGACTCACCACACTCATGGTTGTGTTGTCTTCCATCACAGCCAGCATCTGAATGCGAGCAACAGTTGAGGCTTGAGTGCTGCTGTGACGCCACCACTCAGGTCACACCTCCACTGGACACCACCCCACCCCACCCCACTCTGCATGGATGCATGCTCCTAGCTCCTCTCCCCATGTCTCCTCCCCTGCCACCATCCTTCGCATTCCCGTTTGTTGCCATTGGTGCGTTGGTGAAGCTGATTGGCCTGCCAGGGTAAGCGTTGAATGACCTGCCAGGCCAGCACGGATGGCCGCATGGGATGAGAAGCACCAGACAGGGCGCACAGGGGAGAGGGGGTACAGGGGAGAGAGTGCACGTTGAGATAGGGGAGAAGACAGCCGGGGGAGGTGAGAGGAGGGGAGAAGACAGCAGGGGGGGGTGGAGGAGAACCAAAGAAAGGGAAGTGAGAGGAGAGGGGGTAGGGAGGGAAGGTGAGGAGTGGAGTGGGGAGAAGGAGATGGTACCATGGTAGGCCGGGAATCTCTCTCGGCTGCTAGATCAATGCCACGTGGACAGATTGAGCAGGGCGCACGAGTGGTAGGGGGCACGAGCAGTAGGGGTCATGAGCAGTAGGGGGCATGAGCAGTAGGGGGCGATTTTACAAGGGCAGTCCAGAAGGCAAGGCAGACTGCAGTGCCACACGCCCTTGCCTCATGCATATTGCTCGGAATGAGAAGGGGCGGAAAGAGGGTCAGGCTTGAAGGAACGGATGTGTGATGAGAGATTGGAGACGAGGACCGAGCGCGCATGGGGAGAGATGTCCGGCTTGGGTGGGAAGTGGGCTGGCTGAAAGGCGAAAAGTGGGAGGTGGAGAGGAGAGCAGGGAGGAGAAGGGGAGAGTGGAGCATGGGGTGACGTGCCCTGCTTGGGGTGGGATCTGGCCTGCCTGAGGGGAGAGGGGGAAAAGGGGCGGGATGGGGAGGGATGGGGAGGATGGTGGGGAAATGGAGGGATAACAGCAGCAGAACGGGGGATACATGCAGAGGAAAGGCCAGCATTGTGGCGAATGAGGAGGGGACACGTGTAGCCTGGCTAGGAGCGGAGTGCATGGAGAGAAGTAGGCGCCGGGGATGGATTTGGAAGGGTGGGAGGAACGATAGTGGATAGGAGAGAAGGCACAGCATGGCATGGTGTATGGGGAGCGGCATGGCAGCATGTGAGGTGAGAATGCAGCAGAACGGTTGGGGCAGTGATGTGGTGGCGTTGGTGATGCTGGCGATGATGCACATCGTGCACAGCCAGCTAGGGCGATTTGAGTCTAGAGAGGGCGCCACCTCCCCTCTCCTCTTATCCACCCTGTCAGACGTAGCTGACGGTGAGGGGAGCGCGCTCTGCTGACTCGTTACAGTCATTCATGTGCCAAAGGGTCGTTACAAACACCCGCTGCTGGTACCGCTCGTACCGCTGGTAGCGCCGGCAAAACTGTTTGTTCCCCGCGCCGTGGCACTCCCCGCCTTGTCATGCGAATGCCATGGCGCGCTGGACAGCCCGCTCCGGAATTGCGACTCCGCCTGCACGATCCGATCCTGCAGCCATCCCGCGAGCTCGGCGCGCAATCGGGGTTCGAGCCTACGATGAAATTGCAGTTACGGTAGGTCGAGGCGGCAAGAGATTGCTTCAAGGTCGTGCCAGTAGGGTTATGATGGCGGCGGCGGCGTTTCTTGAGAGTTGACGAGACAAAAATCGAAAAATATTAAAACCGCACGGGCCTGACTTTGGCGAGACAACGTAGTTGTACGAATTACACTATCTCGACTACCAGACGTCGCATGAACAATAATGAAATACTCTACAGGAGGTAGGGAAGACGAGGGACGCCATGGATTGCTTCTTGTGGAGGTTATCCTGGTGCAGGCTGTTGCGACTGTGATCACCGTGCTTGCGATGAGGGCAACATCGCACACGCTTTGCGAAACCTGGCAATGTTTTTTGCTACAGATTTCTACCCGTGTGCGACGCATCAGTGTGTGTATAGCACAGTGAATTGCCCAACGAAATACAAGCGATGATACCCCGAACCATCGCGAACGCATCCCCAGGCTAGTCCTCCCTCGCCATCTCTTTTCACATGGAAAATTGCGTTACACGCTGGAACCTGTGCACCTTCCTTCGCCAACGCTGTACATGGACGGATTTGGAGCTTTGATTTCCTAACCTGTAACTCAAATACAACCGCAATCAACCGTGTTGAAACCCACTGAACGAAACTTCCGACAGATTTGCTCTCCGACAAGTTTTGCTCGGCACGGGAAACATGTTCATATTTCGCGCCAGGGCTGCTTGCAACGCAACATCGCATTCGGTTGGCGAAACCTCACGAGGTGTCGCCAGCATCGATTTCAGCTTCTGTGGGCGAGTCGGCCGGAATGTGGACGAGGAGCTGTTGCTGCTCGACGAAGCTCGCGGTTGCGGTTTCAGGTCAGCTTTCCGATCGCTATTCATGTTACATGCATCACAATTATGTTACGGAGTGTCACCAGGCTTCGTAGGTCGCCGAGCACGGTTTTGTTTGGTGAGTTTCGTTTCAAACTGGTCAATACAGTACCGTGTGGTACCGCGTCAAAACCTTCACAATCACTCTGAACGACAATCTGAGTATCGCTTCCCTTCGGACAGCCCCTTGCAGATCTGCAAGCAGATTCCAGATTTCCTCACAAGCGCACGCCACGGCATCCACACATTACAGAAACCCGTGCGCAGCTAACACATACACGGGAACTTGTCTCACAAGCCATGGCGTCACCAAGGATTCTCAGAACTCACGTCTCGGACCGTAGGTCGGAAAGCATTATGGGAAACGAGAGGCATTGTAAGCTTCCCCCTGATGCGATCCGAGCCGCAGTTCTGGTCCCCTGCTATAAAAAACGACGGTCCCTTGAGTACGTCGATACTCAATCATTCGAAACTCTATTATTCCTTCCAAACAACCAACCAAAACGATGGCAGCTAGGTGTTTCCGAAACGCATTGGCACTGGTAGGACTAGTAGTAGTGCTGGTGGCTCTCAATCTCTCAGTGAGAGCCACGTTAGCATTCAGCTTCTCAAGCTCCGAGCAGGGGGGGGTGATGTGGTCGTTCGACTGCGACTGGAAGGGCAACGACATTGACCGAGCCGCCGGCATGGGCGACACGTGCGGAAAGCAGTGCCTCGATCGCGCGGATTGCACGCATTGGACGTGGACGGCCGAAAATGGCGGCTCGTGCTGGCTCAAAGGGGCAATCAACGCGACAGAATTGGTCGCCGCCAATGGCACGTCGTGCGGTTACCGCGTTACCGACAGCGCGACCGGCAACCCGTACACGGGAGTCCAGCAGTACCTCAACCCCGAGTACAAGGCAAGCGTAGAAGCCGCGATGCGCGCCGCGACTCCCGAGGATGCGCCGTTTTTCGCGAGCGTGGCGGAGCATCCGACGGCCGTGTGGCTCGACACGATGGCGAAGCTCGACGCCATCCAGGGCCACCTGGACGCCGCAGCGGCTCAGGCGGGGGGAAACCCGATTCTCGTGCAATTCGTGATCTACGACCTCCCGGGCCGCGACTGCAAGGCGTGGTCGTCCAACGGGGAGATTCCCAAGGGCGGCCTCGACACGTACAAGGCCAACTACATTGATGTTGCCGTGGCGCGCCTTAAAAACAAGGCGGCGAACGTGCGTCTGTCGCTCGTGATCGAGCCCGACTCGCTGCCCAACATCGCGACCAACATGGGCACGAATCGGTGCGACGCGACGACGGAGCAGGAATACATGGAGGGCGTCGCGTATGCCATCGCAGATCCCCGACACCACGCTCTATCTCGACTCCGGCTTCGGCGGCTGGCTCGGTTAGTGCGTGTGCGGCTGCCTTTGCCCCTGCGCCCCCTTCCCGCTCCAAACCCTCGTCAACACCGGCTGGCATCTCGAAGGGATGTGATCCCCCATCCGGCTGATCCGACGGCCCTGATCGCCCCAGATCCGCCACGATTTGCGCAGCGTTCCCCTGAGCACCAATTCTTTTGCGCAACGTCCCTTTGCAGCTGGACCCCTGCTTCCGTCGTTTCGCTTCGCACCCTTCCCCCCTCACCCCACCCCGCAACCCTAATCCGCTCCCCGTCTAATGCGAGAGCAGGGTGGCCGGAAGTGATGAAGCGCGTCATGGCGGTGTACATGAAAGTCCTCGCGCGCGCGCGGCAGATCCGCGAGAACGCCAAGATCCGCGGCTTCGCGTCCAACGTGGCCAACTACAGCCCGCTCTTCGCGTCCGACGACGGCTGCCCGGCGTCGGAGAAATGCCCGCTCGCACAGAACCCGAGCACGGGCGAAATGAACTATGACTGGAACCCGTGCATTGACGAGAACCGCTTCACCGCGCGCCTCAATGCGTTCCTGGGGGCCGCGGGACTGCCCACCAGGTGGATCGTTGACACCAGCCGGTCCGGCGTCGCTGGCATTCGAACGCGCTGGGGGTCGTGGTGCAACGTGAAGAACGCGGGGATCGGAGAACGCCCCCAGGCGGATCCCGCTGATGCTCCGCAAGGTGAGCACTTGGTATCTTTCAATAGCATCCTGCTTCTCTCCCTCGTGCTGTTGCAAATTGTCCGTATCCGTTTTATTCTCTTTAGTACAATTCTGATTTTACTATCGTTTCCCCCTTGTGACTCCCTACCTTGCTTGCCTGCCAACAGTTGACGCTGTGGTCTGGATCAAGCCGCCTGGGGAGAGCGATGGTCACGCGTAAGTGTCCTAGTCCGCGGCCTGCATTTACAAATTTCGTTTCAGTCCAGAAATTCCGTTTGTGGTTCGTCTGATGCATGCATCCACAAACTGTAGTTTCTTCCTTCCTGGCTCATATCTCTTCCTCCCTTTCCACGATGTATTCAATTCAGAAAGGAGATTCCGGAGCCGCTTCCCGTGGATCGCGAATGCGACCCCATGGACCCGCTTGGCCTGGACGCCCTGGCAGACGCGCCGCGAGCTGGCCAGTGGTTCCAGGAGCAATTCGCGATGCTGGTTCGCAACACCAACCCGCCCATGCCTGCTGGAAAGGTGGACCCGCCCCCGCCTGCCGACCCATGCATGACCGACCCGCAGACAAACCCCGCGTGCGATCCGTTCTGGGAGAACCTGGCCGTCGAGTACTCGCCGCAGTACAAGTTCCACCCCGATGAGACCATTTGGCCAATCACGATCGACGAGTACCTCACACACGTGACTGCCTCCAAAGGTTATTTTACTGAGGATGGTACAGAGTATGAAATTGAATACCAGCCGGGCCCGATCACTTCCGACAACCTCGATACATTGCTGGAGAATCCGAATCTGAGGAGCGAGCATGGCAAAACTGTCCTGTACAGTCCGGAAGAGTTTGACAAGGATACCGACTGGGTGCGGGACTCGGCGCGCAACCCGGAAAACGGAGGCACGAAGCTGTACACCGTCATTTACAATCCGAAACCCGACGACCAAGACTCGTTTGTGGAGATTCAGTATTGGCTCGTCTACCCTTACGTGAGTATTCCAAGTGGTACCCTAGTCAAGTACTTCCTCCCCTCTCTCACTCCCACACCCCTTCTGTAAATTTTTTGAATCTGTTTCAACTATTCAAACCTTGTCGTTTGCAGAATTTTGTCCACCGTGACACTGAGAAGTACAACCACATCACGGACCTGGTGGCGATTGCAATCCGCTTCTCAAAGACCGGCCAGCCGCAGCGCATTTGGTACGCGCAGCACGGCGACGGCCCCGTGTGGGCGTGGGACCAAGGGGCTGACTGGGACGATCCTAGGTCAAAGGAGTTTGCTACGGTGATGGGAACACATCCCATTGTGTATGTTTCCCGGCAAAACCATGAGCATTACCCTGGAGCTGGTGAGTAGTGCCTCGAGTAACACTCTGCATCTTGTCCTGCAGTCATCTAAGCAAAGGCTGAACCTGTTGCTGCTCTGTTTTTTTCTCTTTCGTTCACAGGTGATCACAATTGCTATGCTTTCGGGATCGTTTGTTTCGATGACACGGCCAACGGAGGAGTCGTATGGACGCCCAAGGACAACCCGCAGTCCTTTGAGTTTGCTCATGTGAAAGGCGAGATGTCCGGCTCCACGTCGAATGCAGACATGGCGAAGCTATTCACGGGGAGAAACAAGTGGATGGCGTTCAATGGGAAAATTGGTGGATATTGTAAGTGTGCTTGTCTTCAACCACGGTGTGTAGAGAATGACTTGGATGATGGGTGCTGACTTTGTTTGCTTTTGTTCTCAGATGACTCGGGACTCGAAACTGGAGTGAGCGCGATAGCTTTCCAGAAGAACCAGGGGCAGGTAAGCTTGTGTTTGGCTACAGGACATTCTTTGGCATGGTATGCAAATCAGCCTCTAACCTGATTTCTCTGCCCCTTGCTGATATTTCTTCTTGTTGCACCAACAGTTCACTGCTGAGCTATCCTAAGGGATGAGTAAGCAAGGGGCAAATCCCTGAGGGGTGCTTGCTTTGAGAAGAGGCAGCTTGACACAAAGTGGAAGTGTGGCACGGGCAACCCTGACATGGTTGGAGTGGGGAGGGGACTGTCTTCTCTTCAGTGAAGCGACTCTCCTGGCCCCTTGATAGTTGACACCGACCCAGTTTCACCCCCATACGTGCTCCTCCTCATGTTGGAAGATGCCAAGCGTCCTTGACATAAGTTTTGCTGCAGTTTTCCTAGTGGAGTGACGTGTTGTTGCCTTGTTTCCCACGGGAAGCACAGAATACATTGCATTCGTTCACCGGTGCCAGCAACAGTCCCAACCACACCACTGCAACCACAACACAAACCCTCTCCTCACCCAATGTAAACAATAGTACACCCAATATTCAACCTGCTTTCCGGCTCGTGCCGCGAAACCAGCGGGCTGCCCGAGAGATATTTTAGCACAGCTGCCCGAAGCACGCCCGTGCCAAGCCCATGCACAATGAAGAGCACAGCACCAGGCGGGCTGCACTGCACTGCTAGGTCCACCGCTGCTAATGCATCCTCTGCACTCCGCCCCCTCACATCCACTGTGTTCCGTGCTGTCTGTACCGCTGCCTCTCTCACCGCTGGCAGAGGGGAGGAAGAGGAGGAGGACGGGGAGGGCAACTGACCGCCACGCTTGGAAACACGAGTCTTATTTGAGTTGGTGTTGCTGTTGCTGTCATCATCTTGCTCCCAATGGCGGCCAAACAGTCCTCCTGTTCTCCCCCTCCTTCCTGCCTCTCCATCTGTCCTGCTCTGTCCACCATCACCACTGCCATCGGCGGCGGGAAGGAGGTCTGCTCTCTGCACTTGCAATCGCAGATTTCCCAGTTGAACCGTCACAGACCGAGCACCTGCTGTTTCTGCCGAGGCTTCTCCCGAACCACCGCCCACTGCCACCACAGTACCACGCATGCTGGTGCCGAACCTCCTCACATACACAGGCTCTCCCAGAGCAGGAACCCAGTCCGCCCCTCCTGGGTCTCTCGCCGAGCCACCAACCGAAGCATCCGAACCTATAGCAGGGTTAGCCTCGGGAGAGAGGCCCGTCAAAGCCGCCACCGCTGCCACGTCAGCACAGGCCTGGTCCGTCGCCGCCCGCTCCGGAACACTAGCAAGGGAGGCTTCCTGAAAAGCGGCAACAATGCGGGAAATCTCCTCCCTTGCTGCCAAGACCTCCTCCTGAACGTCCCTCTGATACCTTCTCTTCCACCGCACCTCCCTCACATGCACAGGCTGCTCCTGCTGGCCCTGCTGCGAGGTGCTCCTGCTGGTGTAGTGCGCCTGCAGGTCTTTCAAAAGCCTTTCGGCTTGTTGCCTTGCCTCGGCTGCCTCTCTCGCATCTTCCACGTTCCGCTGCCACTGCTGCTTGAGTGATGCTAGTATTCCCACCTCCTCACCCTCCCCACTTCCCCCTCCCAGGGAAGCATACTCGTCCGACTCACTCTCTCCCCCTTGCCTTCTCTCTCCTATTCCCCTCCCCTCCTCTTCCTCCCTCACCGCCTCTTCCCCCTCCTCCTCCTCCCCTGCCTCTAGACTGGCAGCACGGGCCAGCCTGGCGGCTCTGGCGACAAGGGAAGGAGGCAGGCCGCGGGAGGCAGCGAGGGAGAGGGCGTGGGAGGTGCCGGGGAGACCCCAGAGGATGTGGAAGGACGGACGCAGGGAGACCGGGTCGAACGCGACGCTGGCATTCTCAAACCGGGAATCAGCAGCCTGAAGGGAGGAGGGGACAGGGAGTTGGGTGGGCGATGGGGGGAATGGTAGGGGATGAAGGAAAAGGAGGTGTTGGGCAGGTGATCGGACAAAAACGAGGCTGTGGGAGGTGGGTCTAGGCGGCCCAGAGGATCTGGAGGACAGGCGCAGAAGGAATTGGTTGAGTTCTGTACCAGCGTTCACGAGTCGGGAATCGGTGGAGCTCGGAGGGGAGTGAGGAGGCGGAGGGAAAGAGAGAGGTGCAGAGGGAAGACTGGGGGGCGGGAGAAGCTAGGAGGGAGAAGAAGTGGGCAAGAATGGCAGGTGCATGGCATGCGCACCTTGAGCTTCTTCAGGTCGGCGTCGTGAGTGGTGGCGAGAGTGGGCCCATTGCAGCCACGTTCAAATCATTTCAAAAAAGGTCTCACACTTTGAGTCGTTTCAAAACTGGACAGGCGTATGGCATCCATCAATCTCTCCCACCAATTCTCCCTACCTTGAGTTTCTTGAGGTCGGCATAGTGAGTGGTGGCAAGCGTGAGACCATTGCAGCCTATCTCAAGACGTCTCAAATCCAGACAGACGCACCTTGCCTTCCCTCCCCACCTTGAGCTTCTTAAGGTCAGCGTAGTGAGTGGTGGCGAGTGTGAGCCCGTTGCACCCAGCCAGGTGCTTCAGAATGGCCGCTGCGAGCGCTGCTCCCTCTGATGGGTCCGTGCCACTGCCCGCCTCGTCCAGAAGCACTAGTGTGGCGGAGGTGGCGGGAGAGGGGGTGGATGAGGCGGGGGAGGAAAAAGCAGGAGACGGAGAGGAGGGAGAGGTGGGAGAGGAAGGTGCAGAGGAAGAGGAGGGAGGGGAAGGGGAGGAGGGCGAGTGGGGAGAGGAGGCGAGGAGGATGCGGGAGACGCGGCGCATGTGCGCACTGAAGGTGGAGAGGCTCTGCTCCAGCGACTGCTCGTCTCCAATGTCCGCCACCACGCCGTCAAACCACGGCACCACCGCCACCCGCCCCCTCCCTCTGCTTGCTCCTCCCATTCCCCCACTCCCGCGCCCACTCTCCGCACCTGCCTTGTCTTCCCCTGCTCGCTGTCCCCCCACTTCCCCCGCCAGGGGCAGGAAGAGCCCCGCCTTGGCCATGAGCGCGGCAATCCCGAGGGTCTTGAGGGCGGCGGTCTTGCCGCCCGCATTGGGGCCGGAGATGACCACCACTGCCACGCCAGCCGGCACCAGCAGGTCTATGGGCACCGGGGGAGACGGCTGGGGTGATGCTGCTGCTGCTGCTTCTTCTTCTGCTCCTCCTCCTCCTGATGCTGCTACTGACTTGGTGTCTGCTGCACCTGTGCTTTTACCCGTCCTGCTCTGAGCAGCAGCACTGAGGGCGTCAAGATACATCTCCATCAGCACTGGGTGCTGGATGCCGCGAATCTCAACCGCAAAAGATTCGATTTTGTCAGATTCTCTTCCTACAAGGGTATTCCCCCCCATACCACTGCCCCCAGGGGAATCTACTCCTGAAGTTGCATCCCCATGCGCATGGGAGAGAGGGTGCGTGGGGGGCAGGAGGACAGGAGCGGAACCACCCATCCACAGGGCATGCCTTGCACGGGCACACGCCAGGTCCAGCGCGACAATCCTGTCCGTCAGATCTCAAATCAACGGTGCACAATCCGCCACCTGCTCCGCCATTTCCCTCAGCACCCGCCTCTCCTCCTCTGCCTCCTGCCCACTCAGCTCTGCTTCGTTATTGTTCAACTCAATAGCCTCTACAGGCTCCACAAAGAGTGTAGCGCCAGTGTTACTAACATCCAAGGTAACACCCCCGGGTGTGACAGCACTCTTTTTCCCTGCTCGCACCGCCACGCACCCCCTCCCTCTCCTCCTACTCACCTGTGCCTCATCCATTCCTCCTCCCTCCACCACACGCCGCGCGGCTCTTTGTAGTGATTCGTCCAGCTGGCGCCGGTTGTCCCTCCTGGCGGCGCGGATGGCTGCCAGCTCAGCGCTTGCTGAGTCAGCGAGGGACTTGAGGCGCGGGTTGATGGCGGTGCGGATGCGGAGGAGGAGATGGGGACACGTGGCAGCAGAGGAGAGGAGGGCCGTGAGAGGGGCGAGATGCGAGGGGGTCGAGGAGGAGGAGGAGGAGGAGGAGGAGGAGGAGGAGGAGGAGGAGGAGGAGGAGGAGGAGGAGGAGGAGGAGGAGGAGGAAGAGTAAGAGGAAGAGGAGGGGCAGAGAATGCCAGATTCATCTGGGACCAGCCCAATGCCCGCCCCTAGATCAATGCCTGATTGCAGGAGAGATGCCACTGACAGAAGCTCCGAGGGGGTTATGGTCATGGCCGGGGGGGGTGCAGCTGTGGCAGCAGTGGCAGCACTCGCGGTGCTCCCATTAGAGTCCGCAGAACCAGAATCGCTGTCACTGCCGTCAACATCACTATCACTGCCAGAAGACGCGGCCATACCATCACCAACATCACTAGCAGCAGCAGCACGGTCGAGCCGTGAGAGCAACCCTCCCACGTCCACAGCACCGTTGAAGTCCAGCCGTCGTGGCAGCAGCAGCGCTGCCTCCGTCTGCTGCAGCAGCGCCTGGCTCTCCTCCCACGTGCGCCCCACTGCCAGCCTCCCCTCCTCCGCCTCTCTGTACCCCATTACTGTGTCCGCGAATCGCGCCACCTGGCGGCACACGATTGGCCATTCCAGCAGGTCTTTGGTCTCCTGCTCGAGCTCCCACACAACCTTGGGAATGTCAGATTCCATTCCCACCCTGCTTCCGTTCCCAAACCTGTTCTCACCAGACCCCGTCCCCACCCCCCCTCTCCCAACCCTGTCCTCACCAGACCCCACCCCGTCCCTCCTCCGCTCTCCTTCCATCCCACCCACACCCGACTCTATCACATCCGTTAGAGTCACACCGCCTACGCTGTCTCCTCCTCCGCTTGTAGCAACACCACCCGCTCGAGCAGCAAGGCCACGCCAGCGCGCAGCAGTGTAGCGGCGGCAGGGAGATGCGAGGCTGTGGCAGGGAGAGTGCCCGAGAGACCCAGCGAATCGCTCAGTCGGCCTGTGTGGGACCAACGGAGAGAGACCAAAGAGCGCGCTCCGGCAAGAGGCCTGGAAAGGAAGCTTGAGAGGCAAGTGCAGTGCTGAATCGAAGCTGCCTCGCGACCTTCTTGAGCAGGCTGGCGGAAGTGCGAGCATGGGCCGCCTAGAAGGTTGCGACAGTGTCTGTGCTTGTCTGGACCGCCATGCCGTGGCTTGTAGCAGCGTTGCTGTCGCTGCCAGTGGCGATGGTGCTGGCGATGGCAAGAGAGGTTGGTGGTGCAGACACAGCGCCATGGCAAGGTTGAGACTGTTGCTGGCAGCTGTTTCAATGACAGAGGGTGACCGCGAGCGATTGTGATCGACTTTGAGAGAATGTGAGCGATTGAGCGACGGAGCGACTGTGGGCGACTGTGAGCGACTGTTAGTGACTGTGAGCGGCTTAAAATACCGGCAGAAGCTGACGGCCGGCTGAGGAAACGCTAAAACGAGCCCCCGACAGTCACTTGACGATGGTCTGCGCGCCTCTGAGCGCGAGGAAGGCCTGCGCGTGCGGGTGGGGGAGCGAGCGCGCGATGGCGAAGGCGGCGGGGTTGGCGTAGCGCAGCTTGCTGTGCGGGTCCGTGTAGGGCGCCTCGAGCCCCGTTATATCGCAGTACTTCTTAGCGGGGTACATTGACGGCGGCGCCTCGATCGTCACGTCTGCGCGCGCACGGGAGGGAAGGGGGAAACGGGGAGAGGAGGAGATGGGGGAGGGGGGAGGGGGAAGGAAACAGGGAGAAGCAGGGAATTTGAATGGGGAGGGGGCGGGGAGGAACGTGAATGATCTCAGAAAGACCTGATTATCTAAATTGGAGAGGCCTTAGGTCAAAGCGGGAGAGGCCCGGGAACCGGGGAACAGCGGACGCGGAGGGGCCACGGCTCACGGAGAGGTGGCGTGAGAATCGGAGATTTCATGAAACTCCAAGCCGGCGTTGATTAGGGCAACAACTAGCAGAAGCGCAGCGCGGCAATCCCAAGGTAGAGGCGAAGAGCAACGCACAATTGGCTTCGTCGGGCGGCAGGTCGCTCAGGTTGTGCGGCTGCAGGATCTGCTTCAGGTGCTTCCAGTGCCGCCCGCCGCGCACCTGCGACCCGCGCGGGTACTTCTCCTCCAGCTGCACGCGCTTGAATGGTAGCGATGACGGGAGGAGGAGATCCGACAGCTGCGGTTCGTCCTTGGACTGCATGTGGATTGATCGATTAGGAGGCCGACTGGCGAAAGGCTTGGAAAAAAGCTGGTGGACAGGAGTAAACGGCAGAGAATGGGGACTAGTGAGTTGCGTACCTACTTATATCGAAGCACCGACGCTCTCACGGGCTGGAAACCAGTGCTGTACACTCGCATGGATTTTCGCAACATTTTGTTTTGGCGAACACGACTTCGCTTGTAGCTAGACGGGTGACCAGCTGGTTGCTATGTCAGTTGAACCTCCCAGGAAGCTCACTGACCAATCCCCGTCAAAAGGAGGCTTTTTGCAAAACAGAGCCCGCAACGTATTCAGTATCTTATTTTTCAGCAGATCAAAGAGTCGTTGCAGAACTGGGAGGGCTCATTGCAAAGCCCAAAACTGCCTCCAAGAAGCAATTCAATCCAATTCTCGCTCGGCCTAACTCGGTAGGAGAATGGCTGACTCCTACAACGCCAACCCAACCCTTAGGTATAAAGGCCAACGCAAGGCATAAATTGCCGTACTCCAACATCCCACGTTTCTATCATTGTGATGTAGTCTACGCGCGTTTTGATGGGGCTTCCGAACTTGATGACCGTCATCGGCAGCTATGTGACGCACTTCGCGTAGCGCTTGGAGTGGAGTGAGCCTCCTCGGTTCCGAATGTAAGTCATCAGTGACCTAATGCATGCCTGACAAAGGCGTCCGTTTTTTCGCGAGTAGGATTTGAGGTGATTGTTGGGAACGGGAATTGATGACATTTTCCCCCATGATCGAAGCTGATTCAACTGTGCTACTTTGGCCCATTAATGGGCCACCAAGCCAGTACCTGATCCCGTTCCTTCCCCTGCTCTTCTCTCGACGTCGCACTGACCATTTCATTTGGGCTGAGGTGATTTCATATTTATTTTCGTTGCTGCACATGAAGAAAATAATATCCAACGCAGAAATATACTGTTGATATATCTCTAGAGCTTTTTAACCCTGATGCAGCGACACTTCTTCTGTTTACGTTTTGCCTACTTTTCTTCGGATTAGTGCCTTAGACAGGAAGAGTCGGTATGCCAGACTTTTATCCTGATCCCGGTCCTTCACTTGCTCTTTCCTAAAATCTGCACTGAGTGCATTCTGACTGAGGTGATTCTCCTGCATTTTCGTTCCTGCACATGATGCATCAGAATACATCCAACGCAGAAATATACTGTTGACTCAAAGAGCTTTTTAGCCCTGATGCAGCGATTATGCTTCTGTTCACGTTTTTCCGATCCTTTTTTGAGTCGGATTAGTGCCTCAGATGACGAAATTCTTGTATGATAGGAAGAGTCCGAATGCTAGGCTTACAGCCTGCGTATGTGGACCATCAAGGGATTTATCCGATGAGACTTGTCCGCCTCCTAGTCTCTTTTTCATTACCCTCCGCGTCGTCTTTCTGGCCCTCTTAGTTTTGATAATGTCATTCGTCTGACGAGCATGTTGGTGGAGGGAAATGAGGACATTTTCCCCTATGATCGAAGCTGATTCCACTTTGCTTACTCGGCTCTTACGAGCCACCAAGCCAGTAACTGATCCCTCCCCAGCGATTCTCGACATTGCACACCTACTTGTCAAATGTGAACGTGCGAACACTGTCTAAATCCTCTGTCGTGTTTATGTGGGTGCAGGTGTCTTTCAAGACAGTTTTGAGGCACTGCAATTTGCGTTTGTATTCATTTGTACATAACGTTCCAAGTTTTCACCCTATGTATTGCCTCTTTCCATAATGTTCCATCCAGGTTTTACTATTACCCCTGTCATAAACCTTCTTGCAAGATGTCACTAGAATCTGAATTCAGTTATTCTTCACCGGTTAATGCATGTCATTTGGAAATAAAGGACATTCCATCGAAACAACACATTCATACGTTGGATCTGCAACCAGGCCCCTAGATTCGTTTTGAGGTAGTCTGAGGCCGAGTACACCCCTCCTGGAACTCTGTCTGTCAGAGGTGCCTCAAAATTTTAGTCTGAAAATTCAGACAAGCACAATTTTTTTTGTCTGAACTGTCAGAGTTACTTCAAATTTTAAGATGTTCATGCAGTTTCGTAAAAGCAGTTATAATAGCATTGAGGCTGATTACAGCCTACCATACCAACGCATCAGGCAACGTGCTTGTGCTCGTACATCGCCTCTGCTCATGTCGGCGGCGTTCCAGTGTTTTTGTCACGTGCAGCGCATGGTTGTTTCTGCTCTGCTGATCTCATTTCGTTTTGGCGTGTGTGTGATTACCGTTCTGTACCCATTTTCTCGCATGTGTGCCGATTTTGTCAGTTTTGGATTTGCTTTTCAAGCGATTCGATCGTTCACCCGATCTGTATCAGGTGGGCCAAGTGCCACGCAGCTGAGCTGGCAGCAGGCAGAAACTGTTGCTTGGCGTGGCATGTGAGGATCAGACAGTGCCACACGAAACTTTCAGTACGAATCAGGAACTTCGCAATTCACATCAGTGCGTGCTGCAGATGTTTTTACAGCGAATCAGCATCAAAGTCGCCTATTCTTTACAATACATTAGCGATAACTTACATGTGACGAGATTTTGTCTTCAGAAATCTCGTAATCACGCAACCATTTCCTCAGCGTAACTGGAAGATATTCTCGACGAACGAGTGTATTTGGATGTCCCAGCTGTCGAAGTGAGCGTTGCTCACGTCCTGGCACTCCACTGCCATCTCGGAAGTGGGCATATCGGAAGGAAACTTCCAGGAAACTTTTCTCCGATAAGAGCGCAGAGTGTACCCCCGATACAAGTCTGAGGCTCAGCATACCCTAGTAAAATTAGGCTGAAATTTCAGACAACTCATAAGAAAAAACTCTGGAAAATCAGACAAGGTACAAAAATAAATTCTTTGAGTTCAGACTAGGTACAAAAAAAAAGTCTGAACGGACTCTGATTCAGACTCCAAAGTCTGATATCTAGGGCACTGTCTGCAACCGGAGACCTTAGCAAGTTCATCCTACAATCCTTATTCCTCTTCCTTGACACACACAGCTTCCCATACGTCCTCCGCAGCCTCCTTCCTCCTTCGCGACTCCCCCTTTTCCTCACATCCAAAACCAGTCTCCGAGCCACTGAAAGCAGGTTCCCCAATTCTTCAATATCTTTCTTCCCAAGATTCACCCGGCGGTCATGAGTCCGGTACTGCTTGCATGCCGGGTCATGATCACACGCAAACGGACCAACGCCTTGAAAGTCCGCATCTTTAGCCGGCATGGGGGCAGGTCCGGCTGTGCACTGGTGCAGCATGTAGGTCACCCCGGCATTCACCGCCATGAAATAGTACAGATTGTAGAAGACTCCGTAGGGGGGAATTTCCAGGAGAACGGAGTCGGAGCGAGCGAACGAGGCGGGGTTGGTGAGGCCTGCGCCATGCAGGGAGACTATGATGTCTGCTGCCTGTACCAGAGCTAGCTGGTGGGCAAAGGTGAGCGGCGTGAACTCCACTTGGGCTACCTGGTGGGCAGGCATACAGGGTTGCAGGAAGGGAGAGTTGTGGGACAGGGTAATGGGAGGACCGCGATATATGGAAGACCGATGTGTTGGGGGTGATTGGAGAATGGGGAATGTCAAGATGGGGGATATGATCAATTGAAAGACAGGGGTATGAGTGGAATTCGGTATGGGGGAGTAAGTGGAAAGTGAAGGGGAAGGGCACAACAATACTACTGGGCACTAAAGCAGCAGGACGGCCAGAGTCACATTGCGGTGGAGTGGGCACGCACCTGGAAGTTGAGCTGGTGAAACAGCTTGAGCAGAGCGCTGGAGCTTTCCGCACTCATGACACGGCGGCCGCGTGTGAGCGATGCATTGCGAGTGATGTACAGCAGGCGAACAGTGGTACCATCAGCTGAACTGCTCCCAGCAGATGCATCTCCCACAGAGGCATTGTGGGGAGACGCCAGAGCGCGGAAGGGGTCGGGGTCGGGGTGGGGGAAGGCCTCCTTGAGGCGGTGCTTGAACATGTCCGCCTGCTCCATGCCCCCTGGGAAGGTGATGGCCTGCATAGAGGTTCAAAAAGGCCGAGAGGATGTCGAGGCGAATTGTGTTTCAGCATTGTGGCGAGTTCAGGCCATCCAATGGAAGAAAACAAACAAATGGAAGACAACTCCTGTATCATGTCGGGACGAAGGAAAGCAACACTGGAGGGAGAAGAAAGAGAGTGAGAAGCGCAGCAAAAAATGGCTGAGGGCAGGCATTCGGGCAGTCGAAGCAGAGGGCAGAAAGAGAGCAGGCAGCGGCACCTTGAGGTAGCCTGGCAGCACAAGGCGATGGAAGCACATGGGATGTGCATCAGATGCCCTGCTGAATGCTGACTCAAACTCCACCGCCCCTGCTAGCACCTCCAAACCACCCCTGCTGGCACCAGTGCTTGCTGCTGCACCAGTGGACGCTCCCACTAACACTTCAGGCGAGACCGCATCGGCTAGAGATTGAGGGCTTCGTGGGAGCGACGGGATGTGATGGGAGGAAGCGGTGTGGTTGAGGAGAGGCTCGAGGGCGATGCGCAGCAGCATGTGCAGCACGGAGGGGATCCACCCCCGCTGCCCGTGCTGCCTCATCCTGGTTAAGAGACAGGGATAAACGTGTCAGGAATATCAACCGGGGGGAACAGGAGGACAGGGAGGTTCAAAGGAAGGCAAAGAGGGTCCACCAGAGCAAGATGTGAATCAGATGAGAACGATGTGGATTGTGCATGATGCACACAAAAAGGAAATTAAAGAAGTTCCTACACGCGCCACAAAAGGCTGTGCAGTAACGAAAAACGTTGGATAAGGGAGACGTGGGGAAAGCACAGCAGGCAGGCACCTGGAGGCAGCAGCAGGGGTGCGTGGCAGGAGGAATCGTGTGATGAGAGGAAGAGCCGTGGGCGTTGATGCATTGTTGACTAGCAGTATCTGAGCCGCCTTCCCTGCCACTCACATCATTCACACCCCCCTGACCCTCCCCCATCCATCCTCCCAACAGCCCCGCTCCCCCGCACGCGCACATACGCACACACAAACACGCCCATGACCGCATATGTGTGCACACATCCCCACACACACACCACCATTATTGCCCAAGGAGGCACACATGCACACACACACATATGTGCAAGGAGGGAGCCAGATTGAGGTGGTTCACGCAGGAATGCCCATTAGCAAGCACAAGCATATTTGAGAGCAGTAGCAAACAACAGAGCCTAAAAGACAAAATAGACAGCACGGGTTGCACAGGCACAAGAACACAACCCGTCCCAACAGTCTGCCAAAGAAAAGAGCAACAATGGTGATTGGATCAACCGGAAGAGATGGTGTGGCATGGCGCACGCACCAATGAAGTGAGCCACATTGGTGGTGGGGTCGTCCAGAGGTATCAGCAGCGTGCTGCCATCCCGCCACTCTGCCGTCCCTCCCTTGTCCCTGTTCCCTCCCCCCGGACCAACCCACTTGCGCCACGTGTCCTCACTGGCAGCGTGCAGGCCTCCTCTGATGGGGGCTTCGGTAAGAGCCATGTTGAGATAGGCAGCGAACTCTGCCTTGCGACTGCAGGGGATGGGAGACAGCACGTCTGTAATCCCACTGCTGCTGCTGCTCGCTCCGTCTGGGGAAGGCTGTATCTGGTTCAGGGTGTACTGAGGCGGAAGGCAGGGGGGTGGAAGAGATCCGGGATTCTGTCTGTTTCTGCCTGAGGTTGGCTGAGGGGTGGGGGCGGAGAGGAGCGCGGAGCCGTTGAAGCAGAGCGAGTGGCAGACGCAGAGGGCCTGCTTGCAGCAGTACACGTTGCGCACGCGGTAGCAGCTGCAGCCCGAGGTCGGCGCGAGGTGAGGGGTATGGAGAGGGGAGAGACGGGATGGTGGGAGAGTTGTTGTGGTTTCGGAGGAAGCGGATTGAGGAGTGAGTGAGGGAGAGGGGGAGAAGTTGGTGGACGGGGAGGAGAATTTGGAGGAGTGAGTGAGAGTGGTTGGAGTTGGATTGGCAGGTGGTTTGTTATTCGCGCTGACAATTGGAGGGTTTAGAAGCAGGCTGGACGCGGGTGGAGTGGCTGACATTCTTCGGAAATGGGACGCCTGGACACACCGCGAGCATAACATGGAAAGGGAAATGTGATGCAAACGGTGGGTAGTTGGGGCAGATACGGACAGATCGTGACGGTAACGACGATATACCGGACGGGAATAGATTAGTATCGAGCAAGTATCACTGAACACATTGCTGAGGAGAGTAAGTTACCTTTTGGCTGAATAACCGTGGCACCACGTGCGAATGCCACAATACGAACAGCGCAGCTAAAGCCATGACAGCAAGCAGGATGCCTCTCGCGCGGCCCATGCACAGCAATCGCCGCGATGGACTCCATGACGCAGCGCCGAAAATATCCTGCCGTACTGACGTCAGTCGAGTTCTCTGATGCGAATGCGATGCAGGATTTGAGCTCCCGATAGGCTCAGACTGGTTGCGAGAGGGACGCCATAGACCATGGTGACGAGCTGAAATGGTGTGCAGATCGTTTGCATCATCGGCCCTCATGATTGCCCGCAGATCGCGGCGATCATGGGGTGCCGTTGGGAGTATGTAATGGAATCCTTGACGAGGGACAATCTCGAAAACAAATGCACAGTTGAAATCCCTGTTGGAGCAGCCTCGTTACAAAATGTTGAGGTTACGAACAATACACAGAATACACAACAAAAACAAAGCTATATGCTCGTAATTTGTGATTCTATTGTCCATCACAGTGATTGTAACACTGTGGTATCGCATCTCGACCTTGGAGGAATCAGCAGGATGACGCAAGCTGCGGGTTACTATGAGGTGGCGCTCTTCGATCTTTTGCTGGACCGCCGCTACTCACGCGTGGAGGTGACTCATTGGATCCGCTGTGGCGGTGGCCCATAGGGGCTGGATGGGACGGATGTGCCAGCACTGCATCCGTCGCCTTTCGTTGCTCCTTTCGCGAACTCCAAGCCGTCTCCCGTACCGCTTCGCAGCACGTCATCGTCGCCCACCATATGTGGCTGCCGTTGATTTTCAGCCCTCGCGCTTCCATCTAGACCCAATCTCGGCCATGCAAACCTCAGCCATGCGATTTTCAGGGTGGAATATGATCCTCGTGCTTGACGACTCTGGGATTGGGAATTGCTACACTGCATGGCACGAGACGAGTCTCTCCAGCAAGCCTCCCTTCTCTTCTCCCGCAAGCAAGGAGTGTACCAGCACGAGCACAGCATGGCACATTCCGGCCCAACACAGCAGCCTCGCCTTATAAAAACAGGCAGCCATTTCCACACACGCCAGCGTAGCACGTCGGAGATTGCACCGTTTGCGGCGGATTGTGTCGCCACTCCCGCATTACCTTGCTTCGGCTTTCTCTACTTCCTGGAGGGTAGAGTAGGCAAGGGACTGACAACTTGTATGTAGTGGAGGGAGGCCGAGCGGCTACATTGTTGCACTAAGAATCACGGGGGAAACTGCTGTTGATCCGCCGCGACCGACGTGCTGGCACACCTGATTCTGGAAACTTCGTCTCGTTTTCATGGTCATCGTATAGCTCGTCGAGATTCCCCAGTCAGTCAATTCCAGTCCTACATTTGAAATACGCACCGCTAGGCAGTCTCGACAAAATTATTCTTCCCGTCCCCGTCCTGATTTCCGGCATGTTCCCGTCTCCGTGCATTGCGCTGAGCAGCACCACCTCATTGTTCGCCGCGAATCTAGCAGCCCTGTCTACTCCACCTTCAAACACCGCAAGCCACCGTACTGCCAGGCCCCATGGCCCGCAAATCTCAGCATCTGCTGCTCCTTCTGCACCCGGTCTTGTTGCAGACAACTCCACTGTTGCGACTCTAGAAGGAAGCCTAAGCCTGCAGAGCCCGTGCTTTGAAAGCCGTCTGAGCGTCGGAGACGCCGCTACTGGCATGCTGAATGGTGGTGGGGACACGTCAGACTCGGACAGTACAGGGATTGTAATCTCGTCGTCGGAATACAACATGCGGATGAAACGAGCCATGGCTAACCCTTACGAGTATCACCATCACCTTGGTAAGCTCACGTACTTTGAATGTGACTGACTTCGTAACCTATTGCTTCAACTGAGATATTTCTTTTCGCTTGCCAATTCCAGCAGCACAAGACCTTCTCATGCGAGTACCCGCAACACGCGCATATTTCTAGATTCGTATGTCTAGACTGGACTTCAGCACGCTAAAACTCACTCACAACGTGGTGCAGGCATGTACTATACGCGGATCGCGCAGCATCTGCTGGTGGGCTCTCAGCCGCAGAGTCCGGACGACATAGAGCGGCTGCAGCGCGAGGAGGAGGTGGCGGTGGTGCTGAACCTGCAGCAGGACCACGACATCGCGTACTGGGGCGTCGACATCCACCGCATCACGCACCACTGCCGCCAGCTGGGGCTCAGGCACTACCGCCGACCCGTACGACTCCCATGCTCATTCCTTCCTGACCAGTTGGGTGATTTTTGGGGAATTGTTATCTCATGCGGCTTGCCCCCATTCTCCTTGCTAGCGTGTGCCATTAAAATCCATTTTCTCTTCCTTACCTCCCCTCGCCCTCTGTTCCCACCTGGCCCTGTGTGCATCAATGTCCCCACCAGGCGGTGGACTTCGACCCTCACTCGCTGAGGCACCAGCTGCCAGGAATGGTGGCGGTGATAGAGCACCATGTGTCCGGGGGACGCACTGTGCTCGTGCACTGCACTGCTGGCCTCGGCCGCGCGCCTGCTGCTGCCATCGCCTTCCTCTTCTGGTTCCGTGACATGGACGTGAGTCGCTCTGCTGCCGTATTGACTCACTCTGACTGCCCTACACTGTTCAACTTCCCTTTGTACACTCTTCAGTTCAAGTTTGTCAAGGCTTGATCCCCGTCCAGTCCACCCCTCCCAGTCCTCAAACCCTGACCCTTATACCCCACACTCTCCTCTGCCTGCTTCCCTACAGCTGCGGACAGCATATGAGATGGTTACCACGAAGCGGCCATGCGGCCCGCGCTGGGAGGCCATACGCGGCGCCACATATGATCTGGCAGACAGCCGGCCGCAGCACTGCCGCCCACCACTGGAGCACCTGCCATCACATGCCTTCTCCGATGTGTCTCAGGAGGAGAGGAGGACAATTCAGGGCAGAGTGAGAGGGTTGTACCATGGGTGACCCTGGGCTGGGGGTCAAAAGGTGCACTCAACTTTTGCTGGAAGATCTTTCAAGGATGTGCTGTAATTTGTGGGGTTGATAGGTGATTTATCTGAAGGCACGGGTAGTAACTTGGCTTGGGTATTCCACGATTGAGGTACTGCTAGCTGTATATAAGTTGCACAGTAGCTATTACTGGTATAGCTTGTCGGGTTGGTCCATTTGTCTACTGCATGCAATGCATGGTATGGTATGGTGCCATGAACAGAAGAGGGAAAGGCTCGCATGAACCATACATGAACGACTACCACATCATTCAATCCTGTGCAGCTATATACGGTAGTAGAAAACAGTAACGTGAATCAAGGTAATGGTGTGGAAGCAGGGAAACCTGGCAAGTCTTGGAAGAAAACACTCTCAGGTACCATCTTGTCCACCTCTTCTTGTGTTGCCTGCCGCCCTATGATTCTCTGGCAACACAGGTATGGTAGAACATGCAATAAATGTGAATGAGAATGAAGTACTGTACATGTTGTAAGTGCCAAACGGTTGTTATGTGTGTGGGCTGGGCTGTGATAGCAAGATTGAAGCATAGACTGTTGTCGTACATGAGCCAATGAAGCACGGGGTCCGGTGCACTCCCACTCGAGGAACCTAGGGCGAGAAACATCAGTCGCAGAGTTCCATGTGCCCCACCCCTCTGCCTTCACCACGGCTCCTATGTTGCACCCATGCAGCAGCACACGCGCATCTGGACCCCATGGCCGTCCCAGCAGCGCACAGCTGTCAGGCACTGATGCATCTGCCGCTGGAAAAATTGCAAGGGGGAAACAGGAGGGCAAGACAGCAAAAAGAATGGGTATCGGTGGTCCAAAGGGCTTGGTAATGTGAAGAACACACTCGTTCCAGGCGATGGGTTGAGAGCCATAAACCCTTGGAGGAGGAACTGGAGGAGGCATTGAGTACCTTGAATGGAGCATGCATCGAAGACGAATGCACCATTGGTGTCGTCAGGCCACTGGGTGAGATCCCTGCGGTGAGCTGTCATCCACCCCCTGCCCCTTACTGCCACCTCACACCCCTTCCAGTAGCCTCGTGCCTGACCACACAAGCGGCGGGCAGGAAAAAAGAAACACTGGATCACAGGAAATAAAATCACAGAATGCATGGGCTTGGGAGGCGTCTATAGTCTGCATCAGCAGGAAACGGGAAGGAAACTGAGAGCAGGAAGAAAACTGGTGGCAACAGCAGGCAAGGGAAAAGCAGACACTCCAGTTCTCCTCACCTTGGGTCCTCCAAAGATGAAGTCCACAGATCCCTCCACTCGGCAATCCCTGAACCACGCGCTGCCACGGTGCAAGTAGAGCGTATCCTGCCACCCCAGGAAGCTGCACCGGTGGAACGCTGCTCGCTCCGCTGTCACCCGCACTGCCACCGCCTGGTGCTGCCCTGATGCGCCCCCACACTGCGGTCCTGCTGCGTTCTCAAACACTATCCCCTCTGCTGTGAAATGGCTCGCCTCCACCTGTCAGGGGAGGAGAAGGGTAGGAGAGCAAGAATGACGGACAGTACCGAGGAAAAATACATGCGTAGTAGAAGGCGAGTAACAAAAAGGGTGGTATGAGAAAGGCGGGTTGTACGGGGCATGGATAATATTCGCTTTCTTCTCACCGCAAAAGTTGCAGAAGTATATGTCGTGTAGCTGTCAGCAGCACTGGCATCTTTCCCTTTGATACTGCCACTGCCGCTGACGCCACCGCTGCTGTGCTTAGGTTTCCCTGCATGTGCGTCAAAGACTATCCGGACCTCCCCACCACCAGTGCTCACTTCTTCAACTGATGCCGCCCGCAGCAGAATGTGCGTCTTATTGCAGGGGACTCGTACCTGGCGAGCAAATTGGTTATAGGTTTGAGCATTGGTTAATCATGCACAAGGGGAAAACAGAAAAGTGCAGCAATTCGTGCACATACGAATACTGTCCCTCCCGCCCACCTGCTCAAAGTATGTGCCTGGCTGGACTGCAATCACAGTGGTGTGCTTCCCTCCAGACTCCACTGCATCAATGGCCTCCTGCACCTTCGTGAACCACTTTACTGTACCATACACACGGTCAAGAGCTGAGGTAATTGCTTCTGGCGCCCGTGCACCCACAAGAATCATTCTTGTGGTTTCTTTGGTCGTGGCAGGAGTGGTTTCTGGAGACAGCAAAATGAGTGAGCATTGGGTTAGATACCATGGTGATGCTATGCGACAGAAGGGATGTGCGTATGAACGCCTCACATATACGGCCTTAGACAGACACTATACCTTCAATTGGAGGACGAGGGGTTCCGAGTGGGCCGTCTTCATTAACAGAGCACGGTGGCGCTGGCCCAGGAAAGGTCGTCCCTGGGCAGTCCGTTTCATTCATTGCAAAAAAAGATCGGCAGTCTAAAAATGGGGCAACCTCAGCTTCTGAAGGCTCTCGGCCGATGAATCGCGGTGATTCTGAGGGAGGATCTTTCTGCATTGTACGCCTCTCTTGGTCTGAAGGTTGATTGGTGGCGGAAGAAGCATTCTGCAACAACAAGGCCATCACAACAGGGACGCTTATGGTCAAGCACAGGTTATGCGGGTCTCACCAAAAGCTCATGATTCTGTTGAGCACGAATGGTACTTACGATTGAACCAGGCCCCACACATCTGAACTCCCAGAACTTCGGCCTGTTAATGTCAGTGGAACCGTCCCAGCGGTTCCAACCACGCCGAGGCACACACTGACCAATATAGCATTGCGATAGGATGACCCGTGCATCCGGGCGCCAGGGGCGGCCAAGGTAACAAGGACCCGTTGTACTTGACATGCCTGAAATCATTATTTGGAAAACATGATACAGTACATTATCAACCAGACCTAATCATGGCAAAGTAAGAATACACTCACCATCAAAAGCGCAACACTGAAACACAAAAGCGCCAGTGTCTCGTGGAGAAGTGTCGAGGTCTCGGTAGTGAGCTGTGAATGTGCCTTGAGCCTTGGCTAGAATTGAACATCTAAAGAAAACTGCTTTGACATTTGGCCCTCCAAAAACCAAATCCACGTTTCCTTCGATAATACTTCTGGAGAAGTACTGCAAAATCATGCAAGAAAGGGGCCAAGAAAAAAAAAAAATCAAGAGTTGATTGTAAAATTTATGGACTATTTATTTATGTTTACTTCAGCTTTAACATCGCGAGTGAGTTTAGCGAGTCCGACCCCCAATCTTTTCCTCGTCGCGACACATGCGACGCGGTGGCACATTTGTGAGTTGCTCCTGGTTCGTCATAAAAACCAGATCCAAGGGAATACCGTCATTTTCACACAAACCTTTCGTGACAAACCATCCACCGAAACGGATGGCTCGAGACGAGATCGTCGAATACCGGTCTCAGGTCGGTCGACAATTCCAAGATCGAGTTCTCAAATGCTTTCAGTGAAACTCATTTTTTTTCTCAGGATGTGGTTCCCGCATCACCAAGTGCCATCTCGAAGAAGCGAAGATTGATGAGTGCAGCGTGTGTTGAAACACACGCTACCCACACTCAAAGTTTCACCAAGTATGAGCAAGTTTGTGACGTATATAAGCAGATCGAGAGACAGCTAGTACAAGGTAACGATCCCGCTCATCGTTGCTCTCAAAAGACTTGTTTTTACCAGTTTCTTTTTCTCACGTTGGCTTCCTTTACAGAGGAAGGAATTCGTCGACTTTTGGATGATAAGTTTGGAAAGCAGGATCTCTTGATAGAAGAGCTGAAGACAGCGCTCGTCCAGTTACAAAACGAAAATGCATTGGTGAACGCTAACGCCAGCGAGAGTATGTGTTTTCCCTATTGCTTACCTTCGTGCGAGATTTTGTCAAACTAAAAACGCCGTTGATGCAGGCCGTAAGGAATGCATGCGTTTAAAAAGGCTGGAAGCGGAATTAAAGTCCTCTCTTGAACTCAAGAAGCGAGAAGCACAAAAGTACAGCTCTGAAAGAGGTGAGACTCACCGTTACGATTTCGTCTTCTTCACAGATGGCTAACAACCGTACTCGCTATTGTGTCAGATACTTTGGTGAAACAAGCACAGTCATCACAGGCAGCATATCATGTCAAAGAAAAAGAGTGCGAAGAGCTTGCTTCAACACTTATGCAAAGACAAGTGGAGGTGGAAAACTATAAGGAAGACATGAAGCAGCTTGAGCTCTCCAACACTTCCTTGGTACAGCAGCATTCTTGGGGAAACCAGTTGCTTTTCAATAAACACAAAGACTTACTGTCGTGTTTTCTTGCAGTCGAAGGAGATCTCGCGCCACCAGGCCAACATAAAGTTATTACAGACAACCTTGGAACACAGAAATGATGAAGTGAAAGAGCTCAAAGCTCATGTCGATCGACTTTCAGCGGAGCTGGGTGCACTTGATAGTGTGAACGCACTGTCAACGCGGAATGCAGATGCCATTCTGAGCCAGTTAAGCTCTTCAAATGTTAGGCTTCAAGAAGAGAGGATTAAAAAGGAAGAACTTCAACAGGAGCTGCATGAAGCACGCAAGGAGTGTGAACAGTTGCAAACCCGGGTTCAGCAAATGGAACAACAATCAAAAGGTAAATGATCTTAGCTGGACTGGTCTCGTTCACTCGTATCATGCTACAACTCAATCGCGTGTTGTTTTTAACAGAGGCAGAAGAAAAATGGAAAAAGACCATGTGCCAGCTTGAGTCCGAGCACGGTCAGTCCAAGGAAAAAATTAGTCAGCTCCTGACAACATTGCAAGACTTGGAGGCCAGAGCCAAGGAAGCTGGGAGCGAAAAAGAGGAGCTTCAAAATCAGCTGGAAGCATTGGAAGATAAGGACAGGAATACAACACAGGAGAAGGTAACAAACTAGCAGACGTTCATGGCAAAAGCTCTCGCGTTCGCATCTCACAAGCCTTTTTCTTTTGCAGGAAGGATTGCAAGCCGAGTTGCAGTGCTTAATCACAGAGTTGAAAAGCACCAAGGAGTCCTTGGAAGCAAAACTAATTATGCTTACGACAGAAAATCAGGAGCTATCTGCAGCTGTTGCAGCGAAGACAGAAGCTGAGACCCAGCTCGTCTCTGGGAACGAGACACTGAAAGAGAACCTTGAGGCGAATGAAGCTGCATTGAGCCAGATGAAGGAACAAATTGAGACACTTGAGAAGGATTACAAGGAGGTAAGTACACAGAGTTTGGTGTCTCTTCCTTACATATTGCAAGAAACTTACCAGAGTATTGGAATTCCAGTGTCAGGAGAAGCTGCTGTCAGCAGAGAAGCAAGCAAAGGATCTGAAGAGAGACTACCAAAGGCAGATGCAATCAAAGCAGCTTGAACTGCAGAAGCATCTTCAAGAAATTTCAAGGCGCAATAATCTCGCTATGGCGGAGATGCGGAAAGAATTTGAGGCAGAGGCAACAAGGAGTGTGGATGAAGAGCGGAAAAAGGTGTGCACATGGAAGATTTGGCGGCTCATAAAGTGGTCACCACAAGTTGAATTTACATCCATTGCCATGTCACAGGCTCAAGATGCACTTGAGAGTGCCAAGAAGAACCTCCAGAACCAACTGGCAGAAGAGAAGGAGAAGTATGGAGCCAGGATCAAATCCCTCCTCGAGAAAAACAAGTCACAGGTAAGCTTGCCTCTACTTGCCTGGACAATGCCAAAATCTGAGGCAGATCGGCTTACAGCAGTCTTAATAGGTGTCGGAGCTTGAAGAGACCCATCATGCATCATTCGCCTCGTTTGTGAAAGAGACTGAAATCAAGTTGCGGCTTAAAGAGGAAGAGTGCCTGGCTGCTATTGATAAGGTGAGCTGGCTGTGCGTTGATAAGGTGAGCTGGCTGTGCATTGATGAACTGACTCCAAGCATCTAAAGCTATCCTCTGCAGGTTGAGTCAAAGCTTCAATCTACAGAGGATTTGATTACGAGACTAAAGCTCCAGCAGAGCGAAGAGATGGCGACTGCAAGAGCGTTGATGGAGCAACAACATGCTGAGGTAAGCATAAGTATTATTGTGCTCACAAAACGCACCAATATAAACCTTCTAACACTGGTTTCCATGTCAAGGCCATTGCATCATTGACGGAAGAGCTGGAAGGGAGGATTGAGCTGGCCAAGACAGAACGTGAGGAAGCCCTTAACTTTCAGTTGGAAGTAATGACACGTGAATCCACTGAGGTCAGTGTACTTGCGTACCTGTCTAAGCATGAGCATTTTGGCGAGTTCCCAGAGTCATAACAATTCTGCTTGCTGCAGCTCAAAGACAAGTTGACATCTAAGGATCGAGAATACCAAGAGCTCCAGGAGATACACAGGGTTGATATGGACAAGCTGAAGGAAATCAATGAGTTGCGACAGTCAGAGGTAAGGCTTTTGTTTACTTGCTGCATTCGCATGTGCATTTACATGATTTTATGTGGCAAAGTTTCATTGCAGCTGCAATCAAGGCTTCGAGGGATGGAAAAGAAGTGCAAGCAGCAGCAGGAAAACCATGAAGGCATGCTGCGTAATTTGCATGACGAGCTGGAGCGGTGCTTGACAGAGGTAACGTAGCTAACCAACCTTGATATAGTTTTCGAAAATAAAAAGTATCTTACCGAGTTTACATGTTGACTTGCTGCAGGCACAGGAGAAACTGGAGAAAGCTGAAAAGAAATCCATGCGACTTGAGGAGGAAAGCAGGGCCCGTGAAGCTCAACTCAAGGAGAGTTACGAGCAACAAATTGAGGAGGTGAGTCAAACAGCAAAAATCAAACTGATGTGCTCATTTTGCTTTACACCGACCGAGCTAACCAACATATCGCAACTTTGACAGTTGCGACAGAGTGAGATGAGATTGGAAGAGGAATGCGCAACAACAAGAGTTGAGGCGGAGGGTCATATCAGCAAACTTAAGATGGAACACGAGAACATGCTGAACAAGCTCAACATGGAGCATGAGGACAGTCTTCGAAAGACTCAAATGGAGCATGAGAACGTCATCAAGAAGAAAGATCTGGAGCACGACAGCATCCTTAAATCTATGAAGCTGGATCATGAGAACGCACTGAAAACTCAGCGTATGGGCTTTGACAGTTCTTTGAGGAAGAGGAAGCTAGAACAAGAATCCTCTTTTAAGTCACAACGTGTCAGCTTGACAGAGGAAACGGTAAGGCTTTTAAACGCTGTGAAATGCGTTGTCAGCTCTTTGTCTTAATCAATTTTCCGAGTTAGTGCAGGCCAAGTCAGGGGAAGCCAAGGAAGCCATGGAGGCTAAGGATGTGGAATCAGGCAAAAGTCAAGCTGCGCTGCAACTGGAAAAGGTAGAAATGGAATGAGCAGAACGTCTGAGACATGGCTTTATGAGTATTGACTTATCCAGTATCTCGGTTGTGCACAGAAGTTGGAAGGCTCCACTCCTGCGTCCAATGGAGCAGCTGAAACACAGAATCTTACTTCATCGAAGACACTGAAGTCACGGGTGGGTTGTCCACGCTTGTGACTGACATTTTCAGGGTGAGCATTCTCTTACAAACTCTGGATCTACAGAAAAAACTATCGGGGAAGAAGTTGAGGCTCCAGCCAGCTATATCTACACAACAGCAGGATCTCGCTTTGGACGCAAAAGCTGCTACTCCCAAACAGGCAAGTACCCTTCAGCAATGCTTTACCTTTGCTGAAGAGAGAATCTTGACGAGCAATCGAACGCTTTGGTTTGCTCCAGTTGGATTTCGTCACCAAAGCTACATCTACGTTTTCTAAGAAGAAGAAGCTGAAGCACATGGTAATACATCTCTTATTATAACGGTTCTGCTATTTCCAATTCCTCTCCTGACAGCATCTTAAATTACAGGAAGCTGACTACAAGCCTAATGATTCCAAGGTGGACTTCACTAAGGTCTGTTCAAACTCCATCTGTTCATGCTTGCTCATTTGTTGATGCTTTGAAACTTACAAAGCTGACCACTCCACAGGTTACGACGGGATACAATGCTGACTGGCAGGTTTCCGAAGTTAATGTGGATGACCCCTACGCCTTCTGATTTCAATCCAGCGATGCTGGCTTTAGCACCATTGCTTACAAGCTCATGCACAATTTCATGTTCCAAGTGTCATTCAGACCCCCTGAGTATATTTTTTCACTTGTACTAGATCTGATACTTTTAGCAACAGTTTGTTCTGCTTGGTTGAAACTTCAAGAAAGCGTGGTTTCTTTGACAACAAGATAGGCATAATCAAATTCCATTCTCGACTAGGAGGGGTGCTCACCTGCCGCCCTTGATGGGCGTAAAGCGTCGCTTGCCAACTTCGTAGCCAGCAGCCATGGAGCTGAACCTCGTCCCCCGACGTGCGTAACGCCACTGCCTGGTTTTGCCCTGACTGACCGCCACAGCCTGGCCTTGATTGGTTGACGATCACAATGTTAACCATGATAATGCCTGAAGCCTCCACCTGGGAACATGGGGAAATGGACAATGATTGCGTAACTACGACTCGAAGTTGGCATTCCTAGAGTGCTTGAACTCAGCAATCTCTTACCTGAACTGTCGCACAATTGTACGTGTTGTATACAAGAGTCGTACGATCGCCTAAAGCGCTCAGTGCATGCGGACGTCGAGCCTTCCCGTCGAATGCGTCGAAACAGATTATTGTTGACCATGAAGGTCCAGCTCCGATGAATCTAATGCATTTCTTGGACGATGGAACTAGAACCTGACGGGAACGGTCACCCAGGGGGGCAAAAGCATTGTTAAACTTAGCGACTCACTAGATAACGCTTGAAACGTCAATAACAGCAATATCCTGCAAATCTGGCAAGATTCGTTGCTTGTGGTTTGCGGACCTGTTCCAAGTAAGTGCCTGGGCCGATCTGTATGATCGTTGGTTGGCTTTTGCCTGGGATGGCGTCCACTGCATCTTGAATACTGGTGAAAGGGGCGGAGCCGTCTAGCGCAACACGTAGGGTAAGATGTCCCATCGAGTACGACGGTTGGTGCAAAACTAATTACGGTCGCTGCAATCTCGTGCTATTTGGCGGAATATTTAGTTTTCGACAAGTGGACATACGAGTGTCGATCGACGATCTGGGTTATCTTTCAGGAAGGTGTTTGTAGTTCAGGAGGTACAGAAATAAGCCATCTTAGCAATCTAGTCATCGCTGCCCTCCAAATCAATCAACTTCACCAAAGCGCAACTACTTTCTCCCTCCCAAATGGCTCCCGCGAAGTCGAGTTTAGAAGCCAATAGACAGCCTCCTGCCTCTTGAAGCATGGCATTTCCCCTCAAAGCCACCTTCACCGTGACAGACTCTGGAGTGTCCAAGTCCACCACTTCATGCTTGCCAGCAGTCACCCATCTATCTGTTCCATGCACATTTTCTCTTCTCACGAGCTTGCCTCCTCCTGCCTGTCCTCTTCCACGCATTCTACCAGGGCTGTCACCGTTACCCAGGTGAATCAAGTCAATGCAATCACTCACAGCCTTTCCGCCATTGCTTATCCCAACTGACTCAACTGCGGTCGTTGAATCCTGTTTGTCATTTCGCAGGGTGGTCATGTTTGTCAAGTCAATAAATGGACCCCCTCTCCGTTGCTGAGCATTTTGTACTGCACTACGGTCCTGCACCCTGCTTCGCTTTCCCTTCTGCTGCTCCTTGGGCGGGTAGTCCTCCTGCTGCCAAACCCACAGCAGCCCATTCTCATTGCTTTTCACTGCTCCCCTGCTTCTGCTCTCCACAGGTTTAGCATCTGCTTTCTGGCAGCGCTTCAGCACTCCCACTTCCTGCCTTCCCGCTTCAACCACATCCTCCTCATGGCTCGCGCTCTGAACAATCTTCTTCATCTGATGCACCGCTCCCCTTGCTTGTATCTCATGATTCTGTGCAGAGGATAGAGCAGCCTGGTCGCTTTCAGTCTGCCTGAACTCGGAGGGCAAGTACAACTGATCATAGGGGCTGGGTTCCGATCTGCTGGATGGCTCCCTGTCTCCCTTCAAATCAGCAGATGTGCCCGCATCTGCACCGCTTCTCTCACCGCTGCTGCTGTCATTCGTTACTGAGAACAGCAATGTATGTGACCGCTCTGCCACTGAATTATCTGTATGGACTGGTTGCCCTGCCACACCTTGAGACCGCTGGTACTCCGTCTCATCCTCCCACTCTGTATATCCGCCACATACATCATTACCAGGTGCCTCTCCCAAGTCAGTCATGAACTCACTCATCTCCGTCGTTTCCTTCTCCTTCGTTCCCCTCGTCTCCGTTGCCTTCCTCTGCTGTTTCCCTCGGCCCTTCTTCCTTCCTGCTTCCTTCTCTGCTTCATATGCTTGCACCATTTCCGGATGAACCCTGCCAGCGCAACAACAACGTTTATTATATCCGGAAACAAGGAGATCTCTTCAAGACAAGACAAAGGAGACTCCTGACGACAATTCCAACACCAACCACTTACCTCGTGAGCAGTTCTGCCCGAACAACCGAGTTTTCAACTTCAGGCTGCCCAGTCCATGAAACCTCAAACATTCTATGCCCAGCCACCCACCGCTCCTTCACTATGCCGCCCACCCTGTACCTCACTCCATCCAGCATCCCCCCCACTTCATCCGCTTTCCTGGAAGCTTCCTTCCCTGGTGTCACACAGATCTCCGCTGCCTGCCGCACCAGCAGCAAGCGCCTGAGGTCTCGTTCTGCTAGCTTTGACCCAATGTACCGTGCTGGGTGTGGTGGGGACAGGGGGCAAGGGCGGTTGGAGCGTGGCAGGGGGAGAAAAAGGGAAAGGATGGCATTCATTCTCTTATTGTGAACCCAATGTACCGTGGTGGGTAACGTGGGGATGGGTTCACAGGGGGCGGGCTGTGGGGGTAGTAGGAGCATGGAAGGGGAAGAAGAAGGGAAGGATTGGGTTCTATTTTGCCTAGTGTGGTACCAATGTACCATACTGGGTATGGTGGTGATGGAGAAGGGAAAGGAAAGGAGAAATTAGCAAAAGGCGATGGGAAGGGAAAAGGAATTGCAGCTTCACTTGAGGACACGTGGTAGGCAGTCAACGTCCCATGGCACACGCACCTGTGACGTCAGCAGGCCATGCCATGTGCCTGTCACAGAAGGCGACGATGTCAGCACATGAAGGGCTGCAGTGCTTCTGTAACGCACTGGAACACGCACGATGGGGTAAAAGAGGGGAACGTAGATAACGGTGGCAGGAAATAGCAGCAGGGAGCACGCTAGCTCAATAGCTGCGAGCGCTTGGATACCTCATCTGATCATATTCCACTTGAATACCACATGCTGCTGCCACTTCAGCATACGTTACATTGCATCACATCCCGGTTTCCATATACATCAACGCAACACAGCCATGCGTGTCCTTACCTTTTGACAGCATCCGATGCAGCGTCGTGACACGGAGGATTCAGAAACGCCTCTATCACCCTCGCAGCATCCTCCCTTGCCTGCTCTTCCCCCCCGTCCTCCATCTCTCTCGCGCCTTGCTCATGCCCTCCTTCTCCTGCTGACGGATTCCCCTCTGCCCCACTGCCACCCCCTGTACCAACACCAACACAACCACTCATACCGCTCTCTCTCGATTCTGTTACATCTCCCCTGCCTCTCCCTTCCCCTCCTCCAACTCCTTTCCGCCTCTGCTGTCCTTTCTTCCCTTGCGCCCCTGTGCCGGGTCCCACTCTCCTGCGAGCTTTGGGAGCAGCAATGGCAGCCAGGCCTCTTTCTCTTATCGCTGCTAGCACGCCGTCTTCACCCAGTGCTGCCACCCTCTGCACCGCTCCTTGCTGGTGGGTGAAGTTGGGGACGAGGAGGTGATAGAGAGGGAATGCGAGGGGTTCGTTTGACTGGAGCGGGCTGGAGAATGTAACGGGACTGGAGATGATGAGCTGGGATGCTTGACTACAATAGCTAAGATTCACACAGAATGGGGGCACCAGAGCACTCACCCTGGCACGAAGAGTGGGAGCAGAGGAGACGCCCTGTGAGTAGTCTGAGCCAAGAAAAAGCCCCATGGCGATCTGAATAACAACACGGCAGGAGAGCACAGCACAGCACAGAACGAATGAGAGAACGGGCTGAGCGTGAGACAGGGGGATTAGAGTGGAGTGGAAGCTCGAGTCATGGTACAACATGGCATCATATGGCATCATAAGGCAGGCATGGCATGGCACATGAGGGCTCTCACGAGTGAGTTTCGGCCGAGGCTGAGTGAAGCTGCGATGTCCGCTGCAGTGTATAGCACAGCCCAGTTGGCACCTGGTATCAGCGCGGCAGGGAGAACAGCGAGCACGGGGAGAGGGGGAAGGCTTAGGTGCAAAAGGAGAGGAGGAGGAGGAGGAGGAGGAGGAGGAGGAGGAGGAGGAGGAGGAGGAGGAGGAGGAGGAGGAAGAGGAGGAGGAGGAGGAGGAGGAGGAGGAGGAGGAGGAGGAGTAGGAGGAGGAGTAGTAGTAGGAGGAGGAGGAGGAGGAGGAGGAGGAGGAGGAGGAGGAGGAGGAGGAGGAGGAGGAGGAGGAGGAGGAGGAGGAGGAGGAGGAGGAGGATACAAGGTGCTTGCACTGTAGCCACGCCCTTCCATTCCATCCCTGCCAAACTCTCCCACAGCGCCCTAACCACCGCATTGGCTGCTCATTTCGCCCATGCACCCCTTCGCAACCCATTCTAACAACACACTCTCCCCATGCGCACCTTTGTGCAGGCAGATGTCTCGGACCACGGCCTTGGCTCCAAACAGAAACGCGTCCGAGTCCCCCGTACACACCACATCCTGATTGAGTGGCGGATGGTTGAGAGGTGGTGAGGGGCGTGAGTGTGGTGGGGAGGTGTGCGTGCAACTAGCGAGGAAGCATGAGCACAGAGATGGGGCAGAGGAATATTATCTATATATCTACTTGTTTTCGGTTTACTTGGATGAGGAGAACAAGCAGGAACATGGGGAAGAAACATAAGGGTGAGAGGAAGGGAGGAGAGAGAGCAAGTGAAGGAAGGGAGTAGGAGAGAGGGCGTGGTGAGAGAAGAGATGAGCACTCACACACACGCCAAATGCGTTGAGAAGCGCGCACTGAGCCTCTGCCTCCTCGGGACTGGTGGTGGGAGTGCAGGCGAGGAGAGGACGAGAGGAGGCGGGGAGAGGGGAGGAGGGGAGGAAGGGAGGAGGGGAACAGAGTGGCGAGAGGAGATTAACGGAGGGGAGGAGACGAGAAATTAACATTCTGGCTCTGACGCACAAAGAAGGGAGCATGGCAGTCTGTTTGGGAGCCGTGGGAAAGGGCACGGCTAACTCCCCCTGCCGCAGCAGTGTTGCGTCAATCACCAACAACAACCACTTGTTTTATTGAGACACCTCCTCCTGTCAATGCACAGCAGCCCCTATCCTTCCCCCAGCATCCCATGCTACATCAAGTAACTTGCTTGCTACCCAACCATGCCCATCTCAAGACGCACACCCCCCCACTCTCTCTTTCCCTCCCCACTCTCACTCCCTCCCCCCCACACCTGTCATTGCACGGCACGCCCCATGCTGCCCCCAGCGCCTTCGCGTCCGCCACCATGCGCGCAAACTCCGTCCCCCTCCGCCTCTTCAGCGCGCCCTCAGGGGCGCGGGGAGGCTGGGGGGAGGAACGCGGGGAGTGCGGGGGAAGAGAGGGACGGGGAGGAGGGAATGATGAAGAGAATGGGAAAGGGAGGTGGTGAGCGTGTATGCTAATGTGCAGCATGGCGGATGGCGGATGGAGTAGATGAGAACAGCAGAGATGCTCGTGGTTGGAGAAAAGAGAATTTTCTACCTTGCTAGTAGGCTGTGCTCCCGAGTCTGCACCAGTCGCTGCCGCTGAACCTGTGGCAATGGCTCCAGCGGAACCTGCGGCAGTGGCATTGCCTCGACCCGCGCGGCGCCAGTGAGGGTGTGACGTGGCGGCATCGTCCGCCCTCCGCTGCTGGTACGTCGCGCGCTTGACAGCTGGCACGTCGCCATCTGACGCGAGAGATGTCGGGAGGCGATTGAGGGGGGGACGGACGAGCGACGGTTTAAGGGGCGGCCACTGAAACGCGTAAGATCAGGGCATATGGCATAACGAACAGGAAAGGAGGAGCGGCCGACAGGATTCGACGGCGAGAGGAAGCGACTCAGCAGCGAAGAAAACGGGACAGATAACCCGAGCGAGTCGCAGCCAATGCAACGGAGGAAGGGACGGAGCGGGGTTTATGTGCTAGCTACTACACCTGTAACGAAGATGACGTGGCTATTGAGCGCTTTCAGCGCGCGCAGGCGGTGAAATATTCCGCGAAGGTGCGGCTTCTGATTGCTCTGGACGCCTGCCTGCGGTGGGCCGTTTTGGCAGCTAGCGGCGAACTGAACGATCCAATAGGAGAGATCCACGCAGATGGTCTTGTTCCTGCGCGCACAACGTCAGTATATTCGAGGCTCGCGAGGAGTTAGGGATCCTAGACCCAAGCACACAGCTAAGCGTTGAACGCGGAGAGAGGAACGAGGTCATTGGCAAGGGAGCTGCATTAGTGGGGTCTTACTCGAGATCTTCAAGCGGGATGGTTCTCCTCGCCGGCTCGAGAAGCGACCACAGGCTTTTAACCCCCATGTTCCGGTGGCAACTACGGAAGCTTCGATGGAGGAAAACCCTGAGGCGTCTTTTTCTTAGGCGGCACCAACACTAGCATCAATGGTAGGGAACCTTGAGGTGTCGAGGACGGCCGCTGGCGGTGACAGGTATTTTACAGGGGCAAAAGTAGGCGGAGAAACGTTTGTGGTAGGGACGTCATAGGAAGTAGTAAATATCGTGGATGAGTTGAGATTAGTGCGACTATGTGTCCGTTCCTGCTGTGGTGTGTGTTGAGGTGGATGAGTGGGTTGGTTGTGGTGGATGCACGAGAGGTGGGCGGAGCGCGTTCAAAAAAAGTGGCAGGGGGAGTGGTGCTGGTTGTGTCAGATGGGCCATGTGGCGCGCATCTGTGTAATTGGTTGTGTGGAATTTTTGAAAAGTTCTGCACTGCATGTGTGTCAGGGGCTGCCCCGCGTGTTGCTTTGCTGATCGTACGGTTCAGTATGTTTTCTCAAGGTTAAAGGCGGTCTTGTTTGCCCCGACTAAGATTGGCGTGGCGAGGGTCTGTCCAAGCCTCACACCGCACCGCACCGCATCAACTCGTTGCCACCTTTTGCCTGATTGTTGAGTTGAGACTATCCAGAGGATGTTTGTGGCAAAGGAAGGTGATAAGAACCATCTCATTACCACAGTACTCCATTTTACAGCATATAAGCCAACATGTTCACTGCTGTCGTGTCCAGCGTCACTCAACACCATATGCATGATGAGGATGAGGAGCCAGCTGCCTGCCATACACGTTTTATTACCTACTAGGAAACCCATGGCCATGCAAGATGACATCAATGTTTTCATGGGCACTCACAGAATAAAAGGAAAGTACAACACATACGGTAAAATATAAAATAGTTTCATAGCTACGAGGATATACAGATATGGGGGAAGAAGAAGAGACGTGGAAAAAACTGAAAAGGGAAGGAAAGAGAAGAGGAAAAGGGATGGAGAGGGAGAGGCAAGCTTTGTGGGCCAGCGAAGCGAAGTCGATAGGGGAGGTGGCACACACCATTTAGGGCCAATGAAATTAAGAAAATCACGAGACTTGGTTATGAACTCCTTACGTTGCCGCCTGGGCAGCTCCCAGCCTACAACGTAGAGGTCCGAATCACTTGGCCTCTGGTAACTCATCCTTCAACTCTCCGGCCCCTTATTGATCATGTCATGGTTGCAGCAGGCATGGGCGGGTTGGCGTTCCGAACCAGCATGGCGAATTCCGCCTGGAACCACTTGCCAGCGCGGGGCGCGCCAGATAAGGCTTCCGCGCCCAGCTGGTCGAGGGGGTCGCATTCGCGATCCACCGGGGAAATACCAATTTTTTTTCTGGATTGGATGCATCGGGGGGAGGTAGGAAGCGAGATGAGTGAAGGGTAAAGCGAAGCATAGCCATGGCAGAGAAGGGAGATGAGATGAGTGAAGGTGCAAGGAAGAATAGCCCAGATGATATGATGATTAACTCACAGAAAGAGAAGAAAGACACTATATTAGGTACATGGTAGGATCACTCCGCATGTTTAGGATCAATTAGAGCGACCGTGCAGTATCAAGAACAAATTGAAACGAGCTGTTTGTCCTGCATATTTACTTACGAGTGGCCATCGCTCTCCCCAGGCGGCTTGATCCAAGCCAAAGCATCAACTGTCGGGCAAGCAAGGTGTGTGGGAAAGGAACGGCGGCATGTGACTACTGGAGGAATCGACTTTTTCAAAACAGATTTGCCAAAAAGACAAAAAAGAGGCGAAAAGAAAAAGCAAGGATGCGCGTGATGTGAAGTGCTCACGTTGCGGAGCACTGCCGGGATTCGCGCGGGGGCGCTGTCCGATCCCCGCGCCCTTCACGTTGCACCACGACCCCCAGCGCTTGCGAATGCCAGCGCGGCCGGACCGGCTCGTATCCACGATCCACCTGGTCGGCAATCCCAAGGCTCCCAGGTACGCATTCATCCGTGCGGTGAAACGGTTCTCGTCGATGCACGGGTTCCAGTCGTAATTCATCTCGCCCGTGCCTGGGTGCTTCGCGAGCGGGCATCTCTCCGCCGCCGGGCAGCGGTAGGAAAAGAGCGGGCTGTAGTTGGCCACGTTGGACGCGAAGCCGCGGATCTTGGCGCCTGCGCGGATCTTCTGCGCGCGCACGAGGACTTTCTTGTACACCGTCACGACGGCCTTCATATTATTCGGCCAGCCTGTTCAAGCGTTGAGAGGCGAGCAGGTAAGGGTTGAGGGGTGGGGTGGGGTGAGGGGGAGTGCGAAGCGAAACGGTGGAAGTAGGGCTACGGCTGAAAGGGGAGGAAGGATAGGAAGGAAACAGATTTGCATGGAACGGAATCTATTTCTGAGGCGCCTAAAAAATGGAACGGAACGAACCGCGCGCGGCATACGCACTCACCGAGCCACCCGCCGCCCCCCGAGTCGACATACAGCGACGTGCCAGGAATCTGCGAGAGCTTCGCGATAGCGTAAGCGACGCCCTCCGTGTACTCCTTCTCCGTCGTCGCGTCGCACTGAGCTGACCCCAAGTTCGTCGCGAGGTTCGGCAGCGAGTCGGGCTCGATCACGAGCGATAGGCGCACGTTCGCCGTCTTGTTTTTAAGGCGCGCCACGGCGACGTCGATGTACTTGGCCTTGTACGTGGCGAGGCCGCCCTTGGGAATCTCCCCATTAGACGAATACGCATGGCAGTCGCGGCCCGGGAGGTCGTATATCACGAATTGCACGAGAATCGGCTTTCCCCCCGCCTGAGCCGCAGCGTTGTCCAGATGACCTTGGATGGTGTTTAGCTTCGCCATCTTGTCGAGCCACACGGCCGTCGGATACTGCGCCACGCTCGCGAAAACAGACGCATCTTTGGGAGACGCGAGCATCGCGGCTTTCACGCTCGCCGCGTACTCCGGGTTTAGGTACTGCTGAACTCCCCTGTACGGGTTGCCGATCGCGCCGTTGTCGCGGACGCGGTAACCGCACGACGTGCCAGTGGTGGGGACCAGTTCAGTGGCGTTCATTGCCCCCTTGAGCCGGCACGTGCCGCCGTTTTCGGCCGTCCACGTGAAGTGCGTGCAATCCGCGCGGCTGAGGCACAGCTTCCCGCACGTGTCGTTCTTGCCGGCGGCTTGGCCAATGTCGTTGCCGACCCAGTCGCAGTTAAGCGACAATTGCACTTTTCCGGCCTCGGTGCTTAAGAAGCTGATCGCTGACGTGGCTCTCATATGGAGCGCCATCAGCACTACCAGTGCCAATGTAGTCGAAAGGAAACGCGCAGCCACCATCGTTAGGTTTTGTTGGTTGAAAGAAAAAAAATAATTACGACAAGCTCATGGCGGGACCGTCCGTTTAAAACGCTGCCAGAACCAAGGGGAATTGCTGCTTGAATCGTATAGGGGGCAAGATCAGATTGAGTTGCACACGCTATTCTGCTGTGCTGTCCGAGGGGTGTTTTCTGACTACTAAGGTCACACCACAGTGGCAAGAATATAGTATGAAAGAGACGGTGGGATGGGAAGGAATTTCTTAGCAATGAACGAGTTACGGCACTCACGGAGGGAACGCCGCTGGCCCCACGTCGAATTACTACCGTATTAGAGGCAAGCTCAACTTGGGTCACATCGAACTGTTGTTGCCTACCTACTTTCCGAGGCACGTAATCCAACGATAATTGGCGACATCACAACTTGTCGTGGTGACACCAATATTTCTAGGAACAAGGTGGTCGGAGTGGACCCATTGTTTCAGGAGTCTAGCAAGAGGTGGCCAACACAGCAATTAAAAGGTGCACGTTGGTGCGTCGTGGCGCGTGGCGCGAAATGGAAACAAAGTTAGCAGAGCAGATCCGTCAGGGTGGCAGACATCTCAAGTCCACGCTGTTCAAAAATTGAACTTCCATTTATACCGTGATAAATCGTTTATAAACGTTATGAAATGTTTTCAGCGCTTGTTACCAAAGTCTTTCAAAGGCAACCCTGAACCGACAATGTTTCCCGCATGCGTTCCCACCCACCCATCCCCCCATGCGACATTGATCAGCGTGGAAAACCGTGCGACTGGAAGTTGAAGCAAGCGCGGTCCAAATCTACGTAAATGCAAAACTCCAGAAACTAGTAGCAAAACAACCACTCTTCATGCAACTCTCCTGAACGGGACTATAAGTATCGCGTTTTGCCTGGGGTTCGAAGGTTTTGCCACATAGTCCGCGCGCGGCGATGTTGATCCGTCGGACTATAAACGAGAACATCTATAATGGCTTCCTCCGTCCCTTCACGAGCATGTACCTCCTGTAGAGAATCTCATTCACGTAATGTCTGATTGTGGAGATTCGTAACATGTCTCGCCATGTCAGGCCCATCCCCTAGCGATTTAGTTCGAGAACTGCCTCCCGGTACTCGTCAACTCCCAACAAGCTTCGTTATCGACCGACCGTAGCGTTAATTCTTTCGTATGCTCGAACCCGTTCGTTGCGCGCCGAGCTCGCGGGATGGCTGCAAAATCGGATCGTGCAGGCGGAGTCGCAATTCCGGAGCGGAATGTCCGGCACGCCATTGCACTCGCATGACAAGGAGGGGAGTGCGGCGCGGAACAAGCAGCGCTACCAACACTACGAGTGCTAATAATGGTACGAGAGGTGGCGGTAGCGGTAATTGCGGAACTACAACGAAGGTGGGGGGGTGGCGCGAGCAGCAGCAGCAGGCGCTGCGTCGCATCGTTGACTTCTGGAGACGAGCCCATGCGCGCGCCATCAGCTGTGCCAGCTGTAACTCCCCTCGCTGCGTCACTCAGTGCCTCTCCGCCTGTTTTCTCCCCTGCTGCCCCGCCCCCCATCCCCATGCGTGCGCCATCAGCTGTGCCAGGTGCGCGTGCGGGTGGGCAGGCAGAGCGAGGAGCAGCGGCGGGCGGCGAGGGAGGAGCAGCACGAGCGGGTACAGCACTCCCTGTGCAGTAGGGCTGTCGATTCAAGGGCAAATGACCTTGATGCCCACAGTGTGCTCCCACATGCAGGGCTCCTTCCCCAAGGTAACGCCACAGCAGCCATGCCTCTGCACGGCTGCGTCCTTCCCCAAGGTAGCGCCACTGCAGGGAATCTTCCCCTCAAGGTGGATTGCAGCAGGCAGGCTCAAGGTGCCGCCGCTGCAGGGCTGCTTGCTCTCAGGGTGGGGTTGCAGCAGCCATACGTCAGCAAAGCAGCTGTGAGTCAAGTCAGCTGCCGTGCAAGCCCACGCACAAGTAGGGTTTTCCTCCTCACAGTGTGCCGCAATTCGCCCTGGCTGGCTGTGCACGATGTGCGTCATCGCCAGCATCACCAACGCCACCACTGCCCCATGCGCCCTGCTGCATTGTCACCTCACATGCTGCCATGCTGTTTCCCTTCCAGCATCCCTTTTCATTTCCACCCATACACCATGCCATGCGCGGTGTCTGCTGCTGCTTATCCCGGGCGCCATCCGTGCTGGCAGCCAATCAACGCTCACCCTAGCAAGCCAATCAGGTTCACCAACGCACCAATGGGAACGAACGGGCAGGGGATGGGCGCAAGGGGAGAAGCCTGGAGCATACAGGGAGAGTGGGGTGGGGTCCAGTGGACGTGTGACCTGAGTGGTGCCGTCACAGCAGCACTCAAGCCTCAGCCGTTGCTCGCGCTTGGATGCCGGCTTTCATGGAACACAACACAACCATGTGTGTGGTGAGACGTCACCTCGTGATGGTGAGAGTGCACCTCGTGATGGTGAGAGCACACCTCGTGATGGTGAGAGTGCACATCGTGATGGTGAGAGTACACCTCGTGATGGTGAGAGTGCACCTCGTGATGGCGAGAGTGCACATTGTGATGGTGAGAGCACACCTCGTGATGGTGAGAGCACACCTCGTGATGGTGAGAGCGCACCTCGTGATGGTGAGAGTGCACCTCGTGATGGTGAGAGTGCACCTCGTGACAGCATCGGATGCAGCCTCAGGAGACGGTGGTCTCAGAAACCTTTCCGTCACCCGTGCAGCGTCCTCCCTCGCTTGCTCTTCCCCTGCATTCCCCCCCTCCCTCGCCCCTTGCCCACCCACTCCAGCACAACCCCGTGCATCGCTCTCACTCAATCCCATCACAACTCCCCTGCCCCCCCTCTTCCCCGCCCCCAACTCCCCTCCTCCACTGTCCATTCTTTTCATGTACCCTTGCGTCTGCTCCCACCCTCCTGTGAGCTCAATGCCACGCCGCCACCTCCCACTGCTGCCACCCTCGGCACCGCTCCTGGCTGCTGGGTGGGGAGAAGCGGGAGGGCATGGTGGGATGCGGATAGTAAGGGTGTTGATAAGGAGGAGTGGGGGAGAGGAGAGGCGAGGGGTCAGCACCGCAGCCGACCCTCTCCCTTTTGGCAGCTAGCGCTCTGGTTTCACCTGCTGCTGCCACCCGTCTTCACCGCCCCTTCCTTTTGGCAGCTAGCACGCTGCTTTCAGGAGCGGACAGTAAGGGTGTTGATAAGGAGGGGTGAGAGAGAGGAAACGTAGGGGAGCAGCACTCCAGCTGGCGCTCTCTATGTTGGCAGCTGGCTCGCTGGCTTCTCCACTGCTGCGACCCCCTATTCCGCTCCTTGCTGGGGGGTGGGTTTGGGAAGAGGAGGAAGCAGTGAGGCAATGCGTGGAGTTTGTGGGTCTGGAGTGGGCTAGAGACTGGGATGGGAGTGGAGAGGAAGCGAGACCAGAAAGAGAGCAGCAGAGAATTATCCCTGACGCGAAGTGGGAGCAGCAGAGACGCCTTTGTGCGTAGTGTGAGCCCCTTGGCGACCTGAATAACCACGGGCCGGGTGGTAGACGGGTGCATGGGGCAATTGAGAGAGAGTGAGTTGCGGGGGAGGGGAGTTCAGGTTGAGAGGTCGGACATGATGTGCTGAGGGTAGTGTGGTGGTGCAGAGGGTAGTGTGGTGGTGCAGAGGGTAGTGTGGTGGTGCAGAGGGTAGTGTGGTGGTGCAGAGGGTAGTGTGGTGGTGCAGAGGGTAGTGTGGTGGTGCAGAGGGTAGTGTGGTGGTGCAGAGGGTAGTGTGATGGTGCAGAGGGTAGTGAGGTGGTGCAGAGGGGAGTTAAGGTTGATAGGTCGGACATAATCTGCAGAGGGTATGGTGGTGCAGAGGGTATGGTGGTGCAGAGGGTATGGTGGTGCAGAGGGTATGGTGGTGCTGATGGTATGGTGGTGCTGATGGTATGGTGGTGCTGATGGTATGGTGGTGCAGAGGGTATGGTGGTGCAGAGGGTATGGTGGTGCAGAGGGTATGGTGGTGCAGAGGGTATGGTGGTGCTGGCGTGGTTCTCATTGTGTTGCAGATGCTGGCTGTAATGGAAACAACACGACCTTAAGTGTGGTGAGTCCTCACCTCGTAAGGCTGTGGCCTCAGAAGAAACGCCTCCATCGCCCTTACAGCTTCCTCCCTCGCTTCCTCTTCCCCTGCGTTCCCCCTTCCCTCGCCCCGTGCTCACCCGCTCCTTCTCCGTCTGACATATTCCCCTCTGCTTCATTGCCACTTTCTCTACCAACAGCAGCACAACCTTTTGCATCGCTCTCACTCACTCCCATCACCCCTCCCCTGCCTTCCCCTTCTCCATCCCCATCACCCCTCCTCCACCGTCCATGCTTCCCATGTACCCCTGCGCCTGCTCCCACCCTCCTTCTATCTCGATGCCACGCCGCCTCCTCCCACTGCTGCCACCCTCGGCACTGCTCCTTCCTGCTGGGCGGGGAGAAAAGGGGGGCCATCGTGGGATGCGGACAGTAGGGGTGTTGATATGGAGAAATGAGGGAGAGAAGGCGTAGGTATGGTGTTGCTGAGGGTATGGTGGTGCTGAGGGTACGATGTTGCATGCACTCTGTGTGTATGTGTGCGTGCGCGTGTGCACGTGAGCACTTGCACATGTCCGTGTCTGTGTGCATGGATGTATGTGTGCGAGTATGAACATGCATACATGCACGTTTGTGTGTGCAGGCACGCATGGGCAAGTGTTGCGGGGCAACAGGTGCACAGCGGCGCGTTGAGAAATGGCAGCATCGTCGCAATCCAGGTGGCTACAACAGACCGTTTTTGTTTTGCATGGTTGATGGTCGCTCTTAGGGTGCATGCTGTGGAGAAAGGCCCACAAAGTTCCATCACCTTGTTGTCTAGGCTCTTCCTCGTCGCGCTCCTCTCTTTGGCACAACAGCTTGTGGGGACAACGTCACAATCGCATCGCGACACATGAGCCACTCTCGGGTCACCGGTGTCTCAAGCACCCATGAATGTGGGGCTTTTCTTTCTCTCTCGGGCAAGAAAAACAGCCCTAGTTCATCCTTGTTAGTGGGGGTTGTGTTACAGGATACATGCAAGCTGGATGTGGTGCTGGATGGGTTAGAGGCATGCATTCACATTAGTTTCAGTGAGTATGGGGAGTGAAATGGGAAGGGATACCGTACTCTTAGAGATCTTATTCCTCCAACCCCCCTTCCTTCCTGCCACCCCCCCACCTGTTCTTTGTTGCTATGTTTGTACTTGTCGTTTTTCTCATCATTACTTCACAGTCAATACCGTATGTGTCTCTACTTGCCATGAGCCAATGAACGACAGCTCATTGTCTCTCCCCATTTCCCCCTTCCCTCCCCCGCGCGCGTGCAGACGTGACGATCGAGGCGCCGCCGTCAATGTACCGCGCTAACAAGTACCGCGATAGAACGGGGCGGGGCTGGAGGCGCCCTACACGGACCCGCACAGCAAGCTGCGCTACGCCAACCCCGCCGCCTTCGCCATCGCGCGCTCGCTCCCCCACCCGCACGCGCAGGCGTTTCTCGCGCTCAGAGGCGCGCAGACCATCGTCAAGTGACTGTTGGGGACTCGTTTTAGCGTTTCCTCAGCCGGCCGTCAGCTTCTGCCGGTAGTTTGAGTCGCGCACAGTCTCTTACAGTCGCTTCGTCGCTCAATTGCTCACATTCGCTCAAATTTGATCACGATCGCCTCGCAGTGAACCTTCGTCGTCGAAACAGCTGGCAGCCACAGCCTCGACCTTGCCATGGCTATGTCGCTGCAGCACCACCCTCTCTTGCCATCATCAGCACCTTTGCCGGCACATGCCCTGTCGTGCCCCTCAAGCCAGCCCACGTCCACACTTTCGCGAAATCGCCCAAGTAAGCCAAGAAGCAAGCTCATTCCAACAAGACACTTGCCTCTCGGGCTTCAGTTACGGGCCTCTTGTGAAAATGCGCTCTTTGGCCTCTCTACGCTGCCCCCTTACAGGCACCCTCAGCCACTCTCTGGGTCGCTCGGACCGTTGCCCTGCCACAGCCTCGCATCTCCCTGCTGCCGCTACACTGCGGCGCGCTGTGCCAGGGTTAGGCGTCGCCTTGCTGCTCGAGCGGGTGGTGTTGCTAAGCGGAGGAGGGGACAGCGTAGGCGGTGTGACTCTAACGGATGTGATAGAGTCGGGTGTGGGTGGGATGGAGGGAGAGCGGAGAAGGGACGGGGTGGGGTCTGGTGAGGACAGGGTTGGGAGAGGAGGGGTGGGGACGGGGTCTGGTGAGAACAGGATTGGGAATGGAAGCAGGGTGAGAATGGCTCCCGACATTCCCAAGGTTGTGTGGCTCCCAAAAGACCTGCTGGAGTGGCCAATCGTGTGCCGCCAGGTGGCGCGATTCGCAGACACAGTGATGGGGTACAGGGAGGCGGAGGAGGGGCGGCTGGCAGTGGGGCGCACGTGGGAGGAGAGTCAGGCGCTGCTGCTGCAGACGGAGGCAGCGCTGCTGCTGCCGCGACGGCTGAACTTCAACGGTGCTGTGGACGTGGGAGGGGTGCTCTCTCGGCTCCACCGCAGTGCTGCTGCTGCTGCTGCTGCTGCTGCTGCTGCTGCTGCTGCTGCTGCTGCTGCTGCTGCTGCTGCTGCTGCTGCTGCTGCTGCTGCTGCTGCTGCTGCTGCTGCTGCTGCTGCTGCTGCTGCTGCTGCTGCTGCTGCTGCTGCTGCTGGTGATGGAGTCGATGGTATCTCCGAGGGTGCTTCCTCTGGCAGAGATAGTGATGGTGATGGCAGTGACAGCGATGCCACTGCTGCTGTTGCCACAGCTGCACCCGCCCCGCCCATGACCATAACTCCCTCGGAGCTCCTATCAGTGGCATCGCTGTTGCAGTCAGGCATTGATCTAGGTGCTTGCATCGGGCTGATTCCAGATGAAACTGGCATTCTGCGTCCCTCCTTTTCCTCCTCCTCCGCCTCCTTCCCCTCCTCCTCCTCCTCCTCCTCCTCCTCCTCCTCCTCCTCCTCCTCCTCCTCCTCCTCCTCCTCCTCCTCCCGCAACCCCTCGCCTCTCGCCCCTCTCATTTCCCTCCTCTCCTCTGCTGCCACGTGTCCCCACCTCCTCCTCCGCATCCGCACCGCCATCAACCCGCGCCTCAAGTCCCTTGCTGACTCAGCAAGCGCTGAGCTGGCAGCCATCCGCGCCGCCAGGCGGGACAACCAGCTGGACGAATCATTGCAGAGAGCAGCAAGACGTGTTGTGGAGGGAGGGGGGATGGATGAGGCGCAGGTGAGTAGGAGGAGAGGGAGAGGGTGCGTGGCGGTGAGAGCAGGGAAAAAGAGTGCTGTTACTCCAGGAGGGGTTACTTTAGATGTTAGTAACACCGGCGTTACACTCTTTGTGGAGCCTGTAGAGGCTATCGAGTTGAACAATAACGAGGCAGAGCTGAGTGGGCAGGAGGCGGAGGAGGAGAGGCGGGTGCTGAGGGAGATGGCCGAGCAGGTGGCGGATGGTGCGCCGTTGATTCGAGATCTGACGGGCAGGATCGTCGCGTTGGACCTGGCGTGTGCCCGTGCAAGGCATGCCCTGTGGATGGGTGCCTCCCCTCCTGTCCTCCTCCCCCCCACACACCCTCCCTCCCATGAGCATGGGGATTCAAGGTCAGGAGTAGATACACCTGGGGTCACTGGTACTGGGGGAACCATTCTTGCAGGGAGAGAATCGCACAGATTCGAATCTTATGCGGTTGAGATTCGCGGTATACAGCACCCAGTGCTGCTGGAGATGTATCTTGACGCCCTCAGTGCTGCTGCTCAGAGCAGGACGGGTAAAAGCACAGGTGCAGCAGACACCAAAGCAGTAGCAGCAACAGGAGGAGGAGCAGCAGAAGCAGCAGCAGCAGCAGCAGCAGCAGCAGCAGCAGCAGCAGCAGCAGCAGCAGCAGCAGCAGCAGCAGCAGCAGCAGCAGCAGCAGCAGCAGCAGCAGCAGCAGAAGCAGCAGCAGCAGCAGCAGCAGCAGCAGCAGCAGCAGCAGCAGCAGCAGCAGCAGCAGCAGCAGCAGCAGCAGCAGCAGCAGCAGCAGCAGCAGCAGCCCAGCAGAAGCAGTAGCAGCAGCAGCAGCAGCAGCAGCAGCAGAAGCAGCAGCAGCAGCAGCAGCAGCAGCAGCAGCAGCAGCAGCAGCAGCAGCAGCAGCAGCAGCAGCAGCAGCAGCAGCAGCAGCAGCAGAAGCAGCAGCAGCATCCCCCCAGCCGTCTCCCCCAGTGCCCATAGACCTGCTGGTGCCGGCCGGCGTGGCAGTGGTGGTCATCTCCGGCCCCAATGCGGGCGGCAAGACCGCCGCCCTCAAGACCCTCGGGATTGCCGCGCTCATGGCCAAGGCAGGGCTTTTCCTGCCCCTCGCAGGGGACGTGGAGGGGCAGGGAGGAGGAGAAGAGCAGGCTGGGGCGGCGGAGAGCGGGGGAGAGAGGGGAAGAGAGATAGAGGCAGAAGGAACAGGAGAGAGCAGAAGGAGTGGGGCGAGGGGAGAGAGCAGAGCGAGCAGAGGGAGGGGGTGAGTGGCGGTGGTGCCTTGGTTCGACCGCATGGTGGCGGACATTGGAGATGAGCAGTCGTTGGAGGAGAGCCTCTCCACCTTCAGCGCCCACATGCGCCGTGTCTCCCGTATCCTCCTCGCCTCCTCTCCCCACTCGCCCTCCTCCCCTTCCCCTCCCTCTTCTTCCTCTGCACCTTCCTCTCCCACCTCTCCCTCCTCCTCTCCGCCTCCTGCTTTATCCTCCCCCTCCTCCCGCTCCCCCTCCCCCTCCCCCTCCCCCTCCTCGTCCTCCCCCTCTCCGGCCACCTCCGCCACGCTAGTGCTTCTGGACGAGGCGGGCAGTGGCTCGGAAGAGCGTACACTACTCACGCTCGCCACCACTTACTACGCTGACCTTGAGAAGCTCAGGGTACGTAAGGGTCTCCCATGCGCTCTCCTCTGTCTGACCAGTCTTCTAACACCCCCTTATTCCCTTCACCCTCCTGTCTCTGTCCCCTCCTTCCGTCAGGCGGCCGATTCCCGGTTTGAGAATGCCAGTGTTGCATTCGACCCGGTCTCCCTGCGCCCCTCCTTCCACATCCTCTGGGGTCTCCCCGGCACCTCCCACGCCCTCTCCCTCGCTGCCTCCCGCGGCCTGCCTCCTTCCCTCGTCGCCAGAGCCGCCAGGCTGGCCCGTGCTGCGAGTCTAGAGGCAGGTGCGGATGAGGAGAGGGAGGAGGGGAGGGAGGAAGAGGAGGGGAACGCATTCGGGGAGAGAAGTCAAGGGAGAGAGAGTGAGGCGGACGAGTATGAAGGAAGGGAGAGGGTGAGGAGGTGGGAATACTAGCATCTCTCAAGCAGCAGTGGCAGCGGAACGTGGATGACGCGAGAGAAGCAGCCGAGGCAAGGCAACAAGCAGAGAGGCTGTTGAAGGACGTTCAGGCCCACTACACCAGCAGAAGCACCACACAGCAGGGCCAGCAGGAGCAGCCTGTGCGTGTGAGGGAGGTGCGGTGGAAGAGAAGGTATCAGAGGGACGTTCAGGACGAGGTCTTGGCAGCAAGGGAGGAGATTTCCCGCGTTGTTGCCGCTTTTCAGGAAGCCTCCCTTGCTGGTGTTCCGGAGCGGGCGGCGACGGACCAGGCATGTGCTGACGTGGCAGCGGTGGCGGCTTTGACGGGCCTCTCTCCCGAAGCTGACTCTGCCGCAGGTTCAGGTGGTTCGGCAGGAGGTTCGGCGGGAGACCCAGGAGGGGCGGACTGGGTTCCTGCTCTGGGGGAGCCTGTGTACGTGAAGAGGTTAGGCACCAGTATGCGTGGTACGGTGATGGCAGTGGGTGGTGGTCCGGGAGAAGGCTGGGGAGAAGGTTCAGGTTCGGCAGCAGCGGCTCGGTCAGTGACAGTTCAACTGGGGAACTTGAGAATGCACGTGCAGAGAGCAGACCTGCTTCCTGCTGCTGATGGCAGTGGTGGTGGAGAGGCAGGAAGGAGGGGGGGAACAAGTGGGCTGTTTGGCAGCCAATGGGAGGAAGATGACTACAGCAACAGCAACACCAACTCATATAAGACGCGTGTCTCGAAGCGTGGCGGTCACCATATCAGCATTCCGGCTTGCCTGATAGTATTCCACGTCGTGTCAACCTGCCTTGTGCCACGGGCACGCCCCCCTGCTTACGCTCAGCAGAGAACGGTTGGTGGGTGGGTGCAATGAGAAGCAACGTCAGAGCCTGGCGTGCAGAGCAGCCCTGATAACCGGCAGCTCATTGCCAGCTCGCTGGGTACTCGGGTCAAGTAGAGATGACAGGTATGGGTGAGGGTTTGCTCGAGGCAGCCACACCGCGTCAACTCGTTGACACGTGTTAGTGCTTGATGTGCGTTTGTGAACCTTGAGTTTGTGTATTTGTTCATGGCAATGGTGAACTGTCATGCACTACACTCCTGGTTACATACCGTAGCTTAATAAATAGATCATTCATGGGCATCCCCACCCACACCAAACACCACTTCAGGGAAAGTAGCAGTAGCTGGAGTAAGCAAGGACACTCGGCAACGTGCAACATGAGGAGGAGCACGACACGTTTTATTCAGAGCTAACTCATAGTGGTGGAACTGGGTCCGTGTCAAGGGTCAAGGGGCCAGGAGAGTCGCTTCGCTGAAGAGAAGACAGTCCCCTCCCCACTCAACCCATGTCGGGGTTGCCCCTTGCCACACCTCCACTTTGTGCCAAGCTGCCTCTTCTCACAGCAAGCACCCCTCAGGGATTCGCCCCTTGCTTACTTAAGAATCCCTAGCGCAGCAGTGAACTGTTGGCGCAACAAGAAGAAATATTAGAGGCCGATTTGCATTCCATGCCAAAGAATGACACAATACAAAATGTTCTGTAGCCAAACACAAGCTTACCTGCCCCTGGTACTTCTGGAAAGATATCGCGCTCACTCCAGTTTCAAGGCGCGTAACTTCTTTACCGTTGGAGAGCCAACTCATATCTGCGAACAAACGCAAACAAAGTCAGCACCCATCATCCGAAGCATTGTCTACACACCGTGGTTAGGGCGACCACACTTACAATATCCGCCAACTTTCCCATTGTAAGCCATCCACTTGTTCCTCCCCGTGAATAGCTTCGCGCGGTCTGCATTCGGCATGGAAGCGGATATCTCGCTCTTCACGTGAACAAACTCAAAGGACTTTGGGTTGTCCTTGGGCGTCCATACGACTCCTCCATTGGCAGTCTCGTCACAATGGCCCACGTTGCAATGGAAACTACTACCTGTGAATGAAAGAGACGAACAGAGCACCAACGAGGATTAGCCTTGGCGTAGAAAACGGTGGGTGAGATGTTCCACGAGCTACTCACCGACTTTATGGTAATGCTCATGAGTTCCTTCCGCGACATACACAATGGGATGCGTTCCCATCACCGTAGCAAACTCCTTTGGCTTGGGGTCGGCCCAGTCAGCTCCCGTGTCCCACGCCCACACGGGGCCGCCACCGTGCTGCGCGTACCAAATGCGCTGAGGCTGGCCGGTCTTTGAGAAGCGGATTGCAATCGCCACCAGGTCCGTGATGTGGTTGTAATCCCCAGCAAGGGAGTTGACAAAGTTCTGCAAATGCAAAGGATAAAGCAAATCTTGAACGCTTGAAACAGGTTCACAACGTTTCACAGAGGGGTTGGGGCAAACTGGGGGGTGGGGGAGTGAGAGAGGGAGGAGACAAAAGGAAGTACTTGAATCCAGGGTACTATTTGGATTGGAATGCTCACGTAAGGGTAGAAGAGCCAATACTGAATCTCCACAAACGAGTCTTTGTCGTCGGGTTTCGGATTGTAAATGACGGTGTACAGCTTCGTGCCTCCGTTCTTCGGGTTGCGCCTCGAGTCCCTCACCCAGGCCGTATTCTGACTGATTTCACCCAGAATACGCAGGACAGTAGATCCATGACTGGACTTCAGATTCGGATTCTCCAGCAATGTATCAAGGTTGTCGGGAGTGATCGGGCCCGCCTGGTATTTAACCTGATGCTCCGTATCTCCCACAAAATACGAACCCATGGATTCATACACATGCGTAAGGTACTCGTCGATCGTGATTGGCCAGATGGTCTCGTCCGGGTGGAACTTGTACTGCGGGGAGTACTCGACAGCCAAGTCCTCCCAGAACGGATCGCACGCAGGGTTCGTTTTCGGGTCGGTCATGCACGGGTCGGCAGGCGTGGGCGGGTCCACCTTTCCAGCAGGCATGGGCGGGTTGGCGTAGCGGACAAGCGCGGTGAATTGCGTCTGGAACCACTGCCCTGCGTGGGGCGCGCTCGATAGGGCGTCCAGGCCCAGCGCGTCATCGGGGTTGCACTCGCGATCCACAGGGAAAATGCCCAGAAACTTTGTTCTGGGGAGATGAAAGGTTGGAGGAAGGACGGGAGATGAGTGAAGGTGTACCGAGAAGCACAGCCAACCGTTTCAACATTGGCTCATTGAGAAATGACCCATTGGCAAAGAGGAAGGGACACGCGCACTAGGAAACTAGTACGACCACACCACAGGCGCATAGGAGGGATTAGGTACTTACGAATGGCCATCGCTCTCCCCAGGTGGCTTGATCCAAACCAGAGCATCAACTGCCGGGCAGGAAAGAAAAAGGTGTGCGGGGAAGGGGAGGGAGCCGCATGAGACCACCCAAGGGAAACGCCACTTCAAAACAGGATCGCCAGGAAGAGAAGAGGAGAGAACAGCAGCAGCAGGAAAAAGCAAGGGTGCTCACCTTGCGGAGCATTAGCGGGATTCGGCTCGGGGCGCTGTCCGATCCCCGCGCCCTTCACGTTGCACCACGACCCTCACCGGTTGCGAATGCCAGCGCGGCCGGACCTACTTGTGTCCACGATCCACCTGGTGGGCAGTCCAGCGGCTCCCAGGTACGCATTCATGCGCGCGGTGAAGCGGTTCTCGTCGATGCACGGGTTCCAGTCGTAGCACATCTCGCCCGTGCTCGGGTTCTTGGCGAGCGGGCACTTCTCCAGCGCCGGGCAGCCGGAGGCGAAGAGCGGGCTGTAGTTGGCCACGTTGGACGCGAAGCCGCGGATCTTGGCGTTCGCGCGGATCTGCCGCGCGCGCGCGAGGACCTTCTTGTACACCGCCACCACGCGCTTCATTCCCTCCGGCCACCCTGCTCATGCATTGGGAGGCGAGCGGCGTAGGAGTGAGGGGCGGGGTGAGGGAGAAGAGAGCGAAGCGAAAAGGCGGAAGCAAGGCTATGGCTGAAAGGGGAGGAAGAAACGGAACGGATTGGCATGAAACGGAACGAACCGCATGCGGCACACGCACTCACCGAGCCAGCCGCCGAAGCCGGAGTCGAGATAGAGCGTGGTGTCGGGGATCTGCGAGAGCTCCGCGATGGCATACGCGACGCCCTCCGTGTACTCCTTGTCCGTCGTCGCGTCGCACCGATTCGTGCCCATATTGGTCGCGATGTTGGGCAGCGAGTCGGGCTCGATCACGAGCGACAGACGCACGTTCGCCGCCTTCTTTTTAAGGCGCGCCACGGCAACATCAATGTACTTGGCCTTGTACGTGTCGAGGCCGCCCTTGGGAATCTCCCCATTGGACGACCACGCCTTGCAGTCACGGCCCGGGAGATCGTAGATCACGAATTGCACGAGAATCGCCTTCCCGCCCGCCTGAGCCGCTGCGTCGCTAAGGTGGCCGGGGATGGAATCTAGGGACGCCATCGTGTCGAGCCACACAGCCGTCGCATACTGCGCCACGCTCGCGAAAAACGGCGCATCCGAGGGAAGCGCGGCGCGCACCGCGGCTTTCACGCTCGCCACGTACCCAGGGTTGAGGTACGGCTGAACGCCCGTGTACGGGTTGCCGGTCGCGCTGTCGCCGACGCGGTAACCGCACGACGTGCCAGTGGCGGCGACCAGTTCAGTCGCGTTGATCGCCCCCTTGAGCCAGCACGTGCCGCCGTTGAAGGCGCTCCACGTGAAGTGCGTGCAATCCGCGCGGCTCAGGCACTGCGGTCCGCACGTCTCGCCCTTGCCGGCGGCTCGGCCTATGTCGTTGCCGACCCAGTCACAGTCGAGCGACCACTGCACTTTTCCGGCCTCGGAGCTTGCGAAGTTGAATGCGGCTGACGCATGTGTCAGACTGAGAGCCATCAGCACGACTAGTATCGCCCATGCCAATGTAGTCGAAAGGAAACGCGCATCCGCCATCGCTCAGGTTTGGTTGGTTGAAAGGAATGAATGAGTTACGAGTGTGGCAAACTCACGGCGGGACCGTCCCTTTTGAACGCCGCCAGGGCCAAGCCGCACTGCGGCTCGGATCGCAACGGAGGCAAGCTCGGATTCAGTTGTGTCCGTCATTCTGCTGTGCGGTCCGAGGAGTGTGCTATGACAATTATTGGTGACACCATAGCGGTAGTGATACCAATAATCTTAGGAGCTCCGCCGTGAATTTCGTTCCCGGCGACGTCGGCTGGTTCGGAAGGAACGAGATCCACGGCGAGCGAGACTCACGGCGGGAACGCGGCTGGGGCCACGTCGAACTACTCGCATTGGAGGCAAGATCAACTTGGGTCATTTCCGTCACTCTGCTGCCAACCTACGATCCAAAGTTACACCAATAATTCTAGGAAAAAAACTGCTAGAGCAAGGCACACACTGGTTGGCGCGTGGTGGCGTGTGGTGTCAACGAAATGGGCAGTTGTGTTAGCATCAACTGCGGCAAGGGAAGGCAATAATGGAGGAAAATGACGGCCAGAGCGACTGTATCAGGAAGATTAGGTTTGGAGCCAGAGGCAACATAGTTACTTCAGAAAATCAGCAGTGCGCATTGGTGGCAGGTGCCGTGTGGCGAAATGTGAACATGTTCCAGCAGATCTTGTAGGGAGCAGATCTGTCGGGGAGTATCGTTCAGTTGGTTCCAACACGGTTGAGCGCGGTTTTTTTTTTTTTTTTTTTTTTTGGTAGGTGAAAATGCATTATACAACGTACAACGCAAAACACCGTCGGTCGTAACCGGAGCTAGAGGGCATAGGTAGTGTATACCGTACCCTCGCAGAAATCTACGGAGGCTTATAGACCAAACGCCTAAAAACTTCAACTTGCCCGCCACAAAATCTAACTGTGCCGTTGCCACACTTCAACTCTGGCAGAAACGCCTCGGTAGGTTCCAGGTTCTGTATCTGTTGCTTCAGCTTGGAAGAATTGGCTCCGAGCCTGCCCTGCCGTGCCTTGTAAAAAGGTTGGGTTCCAACAGAGAAAACCCTGGTTCGAAATTGCTGCCGTGCAGGACTTTGGTGACAGATGTTCAGTCTTGGTCCTTAGGCTCCAAATCTGATTCGCCGAGAGTGGTGGGGTTGGGTTGGGAGAGCAGAAATTGCCCTGGTTCGAAGTTGCTGCCTAGCAGCTGTGCCCCGTACACCAAAGCCTCCTATGGCAGGCAGTTGCGTGAGCTGAATGCTGGGGGCAACCCCCACTTTCTGAGGGAAGATAGGAGCAGCTGCATCCGCGACAGAATTTTGAGTAGCTTCACACACCGCAGTCGTAACGTGGCGCCATAGCCCTGTTTCCTCCAGCGACATAGGCTTATCCTGAAAATGTTCTTCCGTAGAATCCACCATGATATGCTTCTTCATGTCAGCATCATGTTGCCATAAGTTGTCGCCAAGAAATATAGAGAAATTTCCTTCCTGAGTTGATAGTGAAGCCATTCGGAATATTGGTAGTTCTTGAACTGATATGGTCAGAGTCGATCGTTTGGAACATGATCTTGGTTCAGATTCGTAGTTATTCCTTGTCGTGCGTTGCCGTGACAAGCGTGAAGCTCCTGTGAATCGTGAACGATGTAGGAAGGAAGAAAGTGTTGCACTTGTAGTTCTTCGCGGGAGCCATTTTAAATGTCCTTCACTTTGCGTTTGCTGCAAACAGGATGTATACCCTGTCTTGTCAGAAACCATCGCTGATCCGGATTTAGTCGCTCTTGACGGTGGTAATAAACATGTCCGCGGGTAACGAGACGTTTCATTTCTTGTCTCTTGTCGAAGAATGGCAGAGAAGATTGATAGGCGAAAAATATTTGGCGGTCCAGCTGCCTTGTACTTTCTCGTCTCATGTCTTGTGTCTGTGTTGCTTTCCAGGTTCCAGCTTCGATGATGACTTGTGCTAAGCCTGGGCATTATAGCTTCCTTAGAGCAACTAAATGTCTTGAGCTTAAAACCAGTTTAAGAACCTGAAAACAGATCTTCACAAGAGGAAGTCACGCCGAACCAATGTTCTCTGTTTGAACATAAAGTGGTGTCGAAATCAAGCCCTTGATGAGTAGACCCAAAATATGTATTCAGATCTTGAAGCTGATAAAGGTTAGCTTGACATTGCACGAGTTGAAGTTATCGTAGGAGCCATGGCGGAGAGCTTGTCTGAGCTGATGGATCGGAAAACTGCGGTCGTAGAACAACGAAAAACAACGCACCATATTGTACCATCCCTTTATTGCATTGGCAGGGGAAGGTGGATGGCCTCCAGCTTGAGTGTAACGCATTGTGCATGCGTAACAGAGATGGTGAGGGAGGACTAGCCTGAGGATGATGTTCGCGATAGTTCGGCAGGCCATCGCCATCTTTTCGCTGCGCAATTCACAGTTTCATAAACACACTGGTGTGTCGCACACGGGTAGAAATCCGTGGCGAACACGTTGCCAGTAATCGCAAACCGTGTGCAATGTTGCCCACATCGCAAGCACCCTGATTACAGTTGCAACACCTCCAACATCATTACCTCCACAAGAAACAAATCCTCCTGTGGAGTAATTGATTTTCGTTCTATCAATTACTCATCATACTATGTCTGATACCCAAGATAGGCCCATTTGGTTCCGATTTTGTTCTCTCTCTCATTTACTCGTCAACTCCCAAGAAACGTCGCTATTGCCATCGTAGCCTTCCTGATTCGATCATGAACCATCACCTCGACCGACCGTAGTGGTAATTCTAACGTCAGCTCCAACTTCGATTCATTGCGCGCCGAGCTCGCGGGATGGCTGCAGGATCGGATCGTGCAGGCGGAGTCGCAATTCAGGAGCGGGCTGTCCGGCGCGCCATGGCATTCGCATGACAAAGCGGGAGTGCCACGGCGCGGGGAACGAACAGCGTTACCAGCGCTACCAGTGCTACGAGCGGTACCAGCAGCGGGTAAATCTAACGAGCCATTGGCACATGAATGAATGTAATGAGTCAGCAGAGCGTGCTCCCCTCACCGTCAGCTACGTCAGACACGGTGGATAAGAGGAGAGGGGAGGTGGCGTCTCCCCTAGCCACAATTCGCCCTAGCTGGCTGTGCACGACATCGCCAGCATCACCAACGCCACCGCACCACTGCCCCAAGCGCCCTGCTGCATTCTCACCTCACGTGCTGCCATGCCGCTCCCCATCCACCATGCCTTTCCATTTCCTCCCCATACACCATGCCATGCTGTGTCCTCTCTCCTATCCACTATCGTTCCTCCCACCTTTTCAACTCCCTCCCACCTTTTCAACTCCCTCCCACCTTTTCAACTCCCTCCCACCTTTCCAACTCCCTCCCACCTTTCCAACTCCCTCCCACCTTTCCAACTCCCTCCCACCTTTCCAACTCCCTCCCACCTTTCCAACTCCCTCCCACCTTTCCAACTCCCTCCCCAGCCGCCACTTCCCTCCATGCACTTCGCTCCTAGCCTGGCTACACGTGTCCCCTCTTCATTGGCCACAATGCTGGCCTTTCTTCCACGCATATCCCCAGTTCTGCTGCTGTCATTCCTTTCTTTCCCCACCACCCTCCCATCCCGCGCCTTTCCCCCCTCGCCCCTCGGGCAGGCCAATTCCCAGCCCAAGCCGGACACGTCACCCCATGGCTGCCATTTCATCTCCTCTCTTCCCTCCTCCTCCGTGCTCTCCTCTTCACCTTCCTTGTTTCCCCTTTCAGCCAGCCCATTTCCCACCCAAGCCAGACATGCCCCCCCCTGCATAGTTGACCTCTCCTCACCTTGTCTCGTCTCCCATCTCTCATCACACCTCTCAACCTTCAACCCGAACCCTCGTTCCGCCCCTTCTCCCACTCGCCTTCATCTGCTCCCGCCCAGACGGGGTAGTTTCGAGCCAAGCAAGACATGCCCCCCCCAACGTGGGAACGCCGCCCCACCCCCCTCTCGTTACACACACCGCTGAGGCTGAGCTGGCGCGCGCTGACGTGGCAACTGCTGACGTGGCACGGGTGCGGCTGGAAGGCGTGTTTTCAGCGTTCGAGGAGGAGCCAGTTTGGTCTGCATCCATTGCCCAGGTCAGCCGCAGAGGATGAGGGGAGAGTGAATTGGAAGGATGAGAAGGGAGGATGATGGGGGAAAGGGAAGGGAGAAGGGATAGGGGCAGTATGCGTGTGCCATGATAGCTTCATGGTAGGGATTGTAACTTCCAAGCCAATGAGGTTCACCAACGCACCAGTGGAAACGAGCGGGAATGTGAAGAATGGTGGCAGGGAAGGGGACATGGGGAGAAGCGTGGGGCATTCATGCAGAGCGGGGTGGGGCCAGGGGACGTGTGACTGGAGTGGTGCCGTCACAGCAGCACACACGCCTCAACCGTTGCTCGCATTTGGGTGCGGGCTTTCGTGGAACACAACACAACCATGTGTGTGGTGAGATGCCACCTCGTGACAGCATCTGATGCAGCCGCCTGCCACGGCGGCCTCAGAAACGCCGCGATCACCCTACCAACAGCAGCACAACCCCGTGCATCGCTCTCACTCAATCCCATCACACCTCCACTGCCCCCCCCGTTTCCCGCCCCCAACTCCCCTCTTCCACTGTCCTTTCTTTCCCTGTACCCTTGCGTCTCTTCCCATCCTCCTGTGAGCTCAATGCCACGCCGCCTCCTCCCACTGCTGCCACCCTCGGCACCGCTCCTGGCTGCTGGGTGGGGAGAAGCGGTAGGCCGTGGTGGGATGCGGACAGTAAGGGTGTTGATAAGGAGTGAGGGAGAGGAGACGTAGGGAAGCAGTACTACATCTGGCCATCTCAATTTAGGCAGTTAGCACATACGGAAGTAGTATACCCCTCCCATTTCACTCCCATTCTAGATGTTTCAGTGAGTATGTGGAGTGCCATAGGAGGGTATCCTAGTTCGACAACCCCCTTGTTATTTCCGTTGTAGTGTTTGTACTCCTCGTTTTTCTCACCATTGTTTCACAATCAATATGTGCACCCCCTTTTCTAGTTGCCAGCTTTGATCAGCGATGGCTAATTGTCGCCTCACTGCTCGTCCCGATCAAGATATAGACGAGGATTTGCTCGGATCGGACCAGTAACACCACATAAGGTCGTTATGTTTTCATTATCTCATGTTCATCAGGGCATGTACTTATTCCTGGTAACCCTTAATGCATGTGTAGCTACTGAGCTGTGTTTGTGGGGGGTCCTGCTTGGGACTAACTTTTATATGCACTCCTGTTTACAGCACAAATAGGCCAAACTCAATATGTGCACTATTGTCCAGGGTCAATAGACACCAAATCCCCCCTCCCCCCATGGTACAGTAATAAGTACCGGTAGGTGGAGTAAGTATGGACACTTGTCAGTCAACCTGCGGGATGAGAAGGAGCCAGCTGCCAGACACGTTCCATCACCTAGCGAACTAATGACACCGCCATTCCAGGTCGGTGTCTAGGGAGGTACCACACAAACCATTCATGACAAAAATATTTAAAACTGGAGTCTCAAGTTCTCTTCAATTGCCTCAACCTTCCTACCTTTGGTTGGGTCACGAGGTCCAACCAACCTTCCTACCTTTGAAAGGGCCACTAGGTCCAACCAACCTTCCTACCTTAGAAACCTGTGGACCTCTGGCAACTATATGTTACCGTATTAACTCCTTCTCGTACCGCCACGGCAGCTCTGGGCATTGCGCTCCTTGATCACTTCCCGCTCAGGTCCATGGTTGCAGCAGGAAAGGGCGGGCCGGCGTTGCGAACCAGCATGGCGAATTCCGCCTGGAACCACTGGCCAGCGCGGGGCGCGTCAGATAGGGCTTCCACACCCAGCTGGTCCAGCGGGTCGCATTCACGATCCACGGGGGAGTTGCCCAGTTTTTTCCTGAATCAGATGCATTGGCAGGGGGGGCCAGGAAGAGAGAGGAGATGAGTGAAGTCTACCCTATGATGAGAGAGGAGATAATGAAGCATAGGCCACCCTATGATTTGGTAATTAACGAACTGAGAGAGAAGAAACACATCAAGGAAACTGGTAGGTCCACTCCGCAGATTTAGGAACCCTTACGAAGTCCCTGCAGAATGAATCAAAGCAAAGCTGTTTGTCCTGGATATTTACTTACGAATGGCCATCGCTCTCCCCAGGCGGCTTGATCCAAGCCAAAGCATCAACTGTCGGTCAAGCAAGGTGTGTGGGAAAGAAACGGCGGTATGAGACCACTGGAGGAACGACGTTTTTTAAACAGCATCGCCAGAATGAAGAAAAAATAGAAGAAAAGAGAAGCAACAGCAAGAAGAAGCAAGGATGTGCGCAATGTTACGTGCTCACCTTGCAGACCAGTAGGGGGATTCGCGCGGGGGCGCTGTCTGATCCCCGCGCCCTTCACGTTGCACCACGAGCCCCAGCGCTTCCGAATGCCACCGCGGCCGGACCGGCTGGTGTCAACGATCCACCTGGTCGGCAATCCCAAGGCTCCCAGGTACGCATTCATCCGCGACGTGAACCGGTTCTCGTCGATACAAGGGTTCGAGTCGTAGTTGATTTCGCCCGTGCTCAGGTTCTTCACGAGCGGGCATTTCTCCGATGCCGGGCAGCGGTAGGCGAAGAGCGGGTTGTAGTTGGCCACGTTGGACGCGAAGCCGCGGATCTTGGCGTTCTCGCTGATCTGCCGCGCGCGCGCGAGGACTTTCTTGCACACCGCCACCACGCGCTTCATGTTATCCGGCCAGCCTGGTCACGCGTTGGGATGCGAGCGAATTAGGGTTGAGGGGTGGGGTGGGGTGAAGGGGAGTGCGAAGCAAAACGGTGGAAGCAGGGCTACGGGCTGAAGGGGGAGGAAGGATAGGAAGGAAGCAGATTGGCATGGACGGAACGAACCGCGCGCGGCACACGCACTCACCGAGCCACCCGCCGGACCCCGAGTCGAGATACAGCGTGGTGTCGGGGATCTGCGAGAACGACGCGATCGCATACGCGACGCCGTCCGTGTATTCCTGCTCCGTCGTCGCGTCGCACCGATTCCTTCCCAAGTTAATCGCAATGTTGGGCAGCGAGTCGGGCTCGATCACGAGCGACAGACGCACGTTCGCCGCCTTCTTTCTGAGGCGCGACACGGCGGCGTCAATGTACTTGGTCTTGTACGTGTCGAGGCCGCCTTTTGGAATATCCCCATAAGACGACCACGCGCTGCAGTCGCGGCCCGGGAGGTCGTAGATCACGAATTGCACGAGAATCGTCTTCCCGCCCGCCTGAGCCGCTGCGTCATCGAGGTGGCCTTGGATGTTGTTGACCTTCTTCATCGTGTCGAGCCACACGGCCGTCGGATACTGCGCCACGCTCGCGAAATACGGCGCGTCTGCGGGGGACGCGAGCATCGCGGATTTCACGTTCTCCGCGTACTCGCGGTTGAGGTACTGCTGAACTCCCCTGTACGGATTGCCGGTGACGCCGTTGTCGGTTACGCGGTAACCGCACGACGTGCCAGTGGCGGGGACCAGTTCCGTCGCGTTGATTGCCCCCTTGAGCCGGCACGTGCCGCCGTTTTCGGCCGTCCACGTGAAGTGCGTGCAATCCGCGCGGCTGAGGCACTGCTTTCCGCACGTGTCGCCCTTGCCGGCGGCTTGGCCAATGTCGTTGCCCTTCCAGTCGCAGTTGAGCGACCACTGCACTTTTCCGCCCTCGGTTCTTGAGAAGTTGAATGCTGACGTGGCTCTCATATGGAGCGCCACCAGCGCTACTAGTACTACCCGTGCCAATGTAGTCGAAAGGAAACGCGCAGCCACCATTGTTACCCTTGGTTGGTTGAAAGAATGAATCAGTTACGACGAACTCATGGCGGGACCGTCCCTTTATAACGCTACCCGGGCCAAGCGGACCTGCTGTTCGAACTACTACCGCATTAGAGGCAAGCTCAACGCGGGTCACTTCCGTCATCCTGCTGCCGACCTACGTGCCGCCGATTATCAGGAACGTCTCGTGAGAAATAGCCAGCACAGCAAATCGAAGGTGACGTTGGTGGGATGAGGCTCGTGGCGCGAAATGAGTAGAAATCTGCTTAGCATGTGGTGGACATGTCAGGTCGAATGCTCTTTGACTTGAACGTACAAGTGTACCGTGATGCACCGTTTATGTTATGAGTTGTAAAAGAGAGTGCGCGGAATAACGAATAAAGAAGATGTGACTCAATGAACTGACAATACATTGAAGGCACGCGCTAATATAGTGGGCCAACCTAGCTAGGCGGGAACCTCGGGAACACGAGGTTGGGTGCAGGTTGGGCAAAGGAAAGGCCGAAGGCGACGCGAGGTTGCTTCGGCAGCAAGCAAAGTGGCCGAACGTGCACTTCCGAAAGTTGGGGTTGTACGCGGTTGAGTAAACCCCTGTAAGGAAAAGGGTTTTTCCTTACACTACCCCCCCCCTTTAAGAAAGGTGGTCAATATCCGCAGCTCGCTTGCGGGCGAGGTAATCACCAAGAAGCGGAGAAGCTTCAAGCGAGGCGGATGGCACCCAAGTGTCGTCCTCACTGGTGCGGTCAGTCCAGCGGATTAGAAAATCCACGTGGCGTCCAGAAGCGTCGAGCCGAACACGATGCGCCAAAATCTTGGACGGGTCAAGTGTCGGTTCGGGGACAGGTCGGGCTGTCGGGGCGGCGTTCTGGCGCGCGATGTCTGTCGTGGCAGGCACGAACTTGCGAAGGAGGCTGACATGGAAGGCGTCATGTATACGCCAATCATCGGGTAGCAACAGCTTCGCGGTGACAGGTGTCACCATCGTGATGATCTTGAAAGGCCCACAAAATCGTGGCCGGAGTTTCGATGGGCCGGGCAGGTGCAGGTTCTTCGTGTCGAGTAGCACTAATTGCCCAGCTGCCAAGACGAGTTCCCGTCGTAGAAGGTCGGTGTATTTACGGGAAGTGGTATTCGCCTTGCGAATTGCGTCCGCAGCCTTTTCGCGAACTTCCTGAAGTTCCGTCACAAATGTTTGTGACCGTGGGACCGGGTTGTCGAGTGTAGTCGTCGTAGGCACCGTCGGGTCCATCCCGTAATTTAAGAACGGGGAGTGATTAGTCGTGCTGGACGGGGCGTTGTTGAACGCGCGCTCGGTCTGGCCGTCCGTTTGCGGGTGGTATGCCGATGAAAATTGTAGCTTCGTGCCGTACTGCGCCCACGTCTCCTTCCAGAATTTCGACGTGAACTTTGGGTCCCTGTCGCTGATGATTGCCGCGGGGATTCCGTGCAGTCGCACGACGGTTGAGATGAAGAGGCGCGCAGTTTCTTCGGCTGTGATGGTTGTGCGACACGGTGCGAAGTGCGCCATTTTCGTGAGGCGATCGACGACGACGAGAACAGCGTCGTTGCCGGATGACCCAGCTGGCATCCCCGTGACGAAGTCCATCGTCACCTGTTGCCACGGTCGTTCGGGTGGTTCGAGGGGTTGCAGCAGTCCAGCTGGCCGCTGACGTGTCGATTTCATGGCTTGGCACACCCTGCATGAGGACACATATCGCTGCACGTCATTAGCAGAATATTGACGGTGCAACAGCTTCTGGGTTTTATCAACCCCGAAATGTCCGGAGAGGTTAGAGTCGTGAACCTCCTGAATAAAAAGTTCACGCAGCAGCCTGTAAGCGGGAACCCAAATCCGGTCAGTTCCGGCTTTTAGGTAATAATTCCCCTTCTGCGTCGTTGCCTGCTGGTGATTTCCAGTCGTGAAGAACGGGTCCGTAGTGTAGCCGTGGGTGAATAGTCCTGTAAGTAGCGGGTTCGAATGGGTGATGAGCACTGCAGCGGATTGAACTGTCGGTCTGGTCAGGGCATCGGCGATGTTATTCGCCCCTTTCTTATATGTGATGCGGTAGGTGAAGTGGCTCTCCATGTAGTCCAACCACCGAATTTGTCGCGGGTTGAGGTTGGGCTGAGCTCGCAGGTACTGTAGGGACTTGTGGTCCGTGCGAACAGTGACGTCGGCACCCGCCAAGTAGCAGCGCCACAGTTTGAACGCGTGTATTATGGCGAGCATCTCCTTGTCATGTATCGGGTAGTTGCGCTCGGCTGACTGCAGCTTACGTGACTCGTAGGCGATCGGCTGCAGCCCGTTCCCAAAATCCTGGAGGAGTACAGCTCCGATGGCGAAATCTGAGGCGTCGGTGACGACTTCGAACGGCTTCGATGGGTCGGCGATGCGCAAAACCGGAGGGGAAACGAGAAAATTCTTCAACTCCTGAAAAGCCGCCTCAGCGTCCTCCCCCCACACGAAATTCCTGTCCTTGTGCAGCAGGTCGGTCAGCGGGCCGGTTATCCCCGCCATATTTGGGATAAACCGCCTGACGTAATTCACGAAGCCCAGAAAACTCTGAAGTTCCGTGATGTTAGTCGGGGACTTCCACTCCTGAATAGTCTTGATTTTCGCCGGGTCGATTTTGATGCCGTCGCGGGAGATGACGTGCCCCAAAAACTCCAACTCCTGCTTAAAGAACTTGCACTTAGAGCCCTTGGTGATGAGGCGGTTCTCCTGCAACCGTTTAAACACTGCGTCGAGGTCGCGGAGGTGTTGTTCCCTTGTCCTGCTAAAAATCAGAATATCGTCCAAATAGACGATCACACACTTGTCGAGAAATTCCCGGAAAACCCTGTTCATGGTCAGTTGAAATGTCGAAGGCGCGTTTGTGAGGCCGAACGGCATCACTGTGAACTCGTAGCTTCCGTAGCGGGTGCAAAACGCGGTCTTGTGACAGTCGTCGGCGAAGACCCGAATCTGGTGGTAACCGCCACGCAAGTCGATTTTCGAAAAGTAGCGAGCGCCGCGAAGTTGATCGAGGAGGTCGTCGGTGCGTGGGATTGGATAGCGAGATTTGATGGTCACCCGGTTGAGCGCACGATAGTCGATGCACATGCGAAGCCCGCCATCCTTCTTCGGCGTGAACAGGAACGGGGCTGCGAAGGGAGATGTATTGGGTCGATTTAACCCCTTCTCCAAAAGTCCCTCAATTTGTCGTCGCAGCTCCTCGAGTTCCGGTTGGGTCAGCCGCCACTGTGTACGAACAGTCGGCTGCGCGCCAGGCTCCAGCTGGATTTTGTGGTCCTCGGGGCGTTCGGGTGGCAGTCCAGGTGGCAAATCGTCGGGGAAGATGTCCGGGTACTGTCGAATCAGCTCCGCTAAATCAGGTGGTACAGGTGCGCACAGCTTCTCGATGTCCTTTCCGTCGGTGTCGGTTGCCAACTCGCGCAAACATACGGCGAACAGCTGCGCGCCTCGGTTGAAGTGGCGAGCAATAGTGATGGCTTTGACGCAAGGGGCTTGGATGTAGTCAGGTGTCCATGCAGGCAACTTAATTAGCCCCTCGTGCTTGCTGATGCTGCACGATCCCGTTGTCCAGTCGATGACGGGGTTGTGCCGTCGCAGCCAATCACGCCCCAGCAGCACGTCGCAGCCGTCCAGCGTCGTCGCGAGAAACTTCATGCTGAAGCCGAAATCATCGCCGCATTCGATCCGCACCGTCCGTGTTTCTTCTAAAATCGCCAGAGGCGTCCCATCCACGAGGCGAGCGTCGATTTCGGGCAGACACCTGTCAAGTTGCAGCTTGCATTTTTTTGCTGTCGCCAAGTTGAAGAGGCTATGGCTGGCCCCTCCGTCGACGAACATTTTCAAGTAGTTTTTTAACACTTTGCCAACGACCAGCACAGGGTGATCCACATGGTTATCCCCGTTATTCGGCCGAGTGCGATCGATTGCATGAATCGGAACCACGACTCGGTGGGGATGATGGTGTTCGGGCAACAGAGCACAGTCAGTAAGGGGCCCGTCTGTTACTGACTCTTCCCATTTCCCGGCTCTTTCCCGTCGTTCCTCTTCGCCGGCGTTCTCTCGGGGCATTCTGCATATTTGTGACCCGGCTTCCCGCACTTATAACACAACCCTGTGTAGGGGCGGTCTGGTGCATGGACTCCGTTGATCGTGGCCCGTTGGGTCTGGCCGCGAAAACGATTTCCCTCCCGGAAACTCGACCTCGCGTAATGCATCAGCGCGTTTGTGGATTCTGCCAACCGTGCTGCTTCCAGGAACGATGTCGGGCGGCATCGGCGCACCTCATACTATATCTCGTATTTAAGGCCGCTGACGTACTTGTCTAACCGCTCCGCTTCCGACATGTCGTCCACTTGGTCGGCGAGGGCCATGAAATTTGCTGTGTAGTCTTGGTCACGCCGAATATCGGTGCTGCCACTTGAGTAACCGTCGTTGAAGTCCCGTCTTCCGCATGTGTCACACCTGTCGGGGTCCCCGTGTCCAAGGTTCGGCGCCACCACTCAAGCGCTGCGCCTCGAAGAAGCGAAACCGCGTAATTAATACGCGTGGCATCGTCGTTCACGCCTGCTGCAGTGAAGAAGACTTCAACGCCGAAAAGCCACCCCTTCACTATAGTAGTCTTGTCCGTAGGGTTGAACGGGGGCGGGTTGACGGGTTTAATCTTGATCGTCGTTACTGCAATTGGCGTCGCTGCCGCTCGCTGCCTATCCTCTTCTTCGAAATCACGTGTGAGCGCGTCCAACGGGTTGCTCACCGCTTGACTGTTGCCCTCGCCTTCTTCATCGGGCGACTCCTGACGCGCTTCACCTCGCGTCTGGCGTAGCTCGGCGTTTTCTCCTCGTAGTGTTGTCACTTCTGCTGATAAAGTCTGCACTGTTGCCTGTAGCTCTGCCATTTGCGCCAGCATCTTGTTCAATGTCTCCTGGTCCATGAGTCGCACGCTTTGTCTCGTGGGCAGAGGGGTATCCGTGGCCTTCCGGTG